ACAAACAAAAAATGATTTAATGCCTAAATGACAGTTAAAGCGGCACTGTCATGGCCGAATCCCCCTTTTTTTTTTAAACCCCCTCCTGACTCCACTACATCTAACTGACCCCCTAGTCGCCCACCATTTTACCTAGTTTTTAATCTTTATTTTCTACCCCGATCTATATTTAGGGCGCCGCCATCTTTGTGTGGGTAGATGAAGTCCCAGTGGGACACGTCATCTCCCACACTAGATAGCACTGTGAGATTCCCGCACATGCCCAGTTAAACACCTGGGCATGCGAACGGGAATTTCATTTATTCATTAATTCGTTTAAGACGAATGAATGACTAGAAATTTCAGACGAACAAACAAACACCGAATATCAGTGTTCGTTTGTTCATTCAGTTTATTTCAAGGAGGGAGCTACCGGCGTGCAGCTCCCTCCTTGTAATAAGTAAAGATAGAAGTGGCAGGGAGCAGTGCTCCCCGCCACTTCCTAAGCCCCCATGTCCTCCCTCACTCTATGGGTTCAATATGACCCCCATAATAGCATAAGGCCTGTGGCTGCTCACTGTTTAAAAAAAAACAAACCCTAGTAGCCCCCCCCGGTCCCCACCTCTGCGCGGCGGGTGGGGGCCATAAATAACAATAAAGGGGGGGACCTACTTTCCTCTCCCCTGGCCCCCACCCCTGGGCGGCAGGTGGGGGCCCTAAAGAAGAATGTGGGGGGGACCTACTGTCCTCCCCCCGGCCCCCACCCCTGCGCGGCGGGTGGGGGCCCTAAATAGGAATGGGGGGACCTACTGTTCTCCCCCCGGCCCCCACCCCTGCAAGGCGGCTGGGGGCCCTAAGTAACAATACTGGGGGGTGGACCTACTGTCCTCCCCCTGGCCCCCACCCCTGCGCGCGGGTGGGGGCCTAAATAAGAATGAGGGGGGGGACCTACTGTCCTCCCCCCCCGGCCCCCACCCCTGCGCAGCGATTGGGGGCCCTAAATAAGAATGTGGGGGGGACCTACTGTCCTCCCCCCCCGTCCCCCACCCCTGCGCGGCGGGTGGGGGCCCTAAATAACAATACTGGGGGGGGGACCTACTGTCCTCCTCCCGGCCCCCACCCCTGGGCGCAGGTGGGGGCCTAAATGACAAATTCCCCCCCCCTTCCAAGGAGACTAGAGGTCCCCAATCCCCTAGTCACCCCCCGACCCAAATAAAAAACTATCCCCTACAAATAGTGAGGGGGGAATAAAATAACTAACCTGTGAAGAAAAAGAAAACTTACCATTTGATGTCTTCTTTCTTCTAAAATCTTAATTTTTCAGCCCCCAAAAAGGCCAAATTAAAAAAACATCATGCCAGTCGAACTTAAAATAAAATAAAAAACCAGATCGCAAAAAAAACCAGACGAAAAAGAAAAAACCTGATGCTAAAAAAATTAATCCATCTTCACCCGGCGAGGGCACGGCGCAGACTGACCTCCGCAGGGCGGAGAAAGGCTTATAAAACCTTGCCCCGCTCTGCAATTGTCATTTTACACAGCGAGGGAAAATTCTAAAGAACTTTCCCACACTGTGTAAAATGACTTATAACACTCTGATTGGATGGCTTGAAATCCATCCAATCAGAGTGCTCTGTGTCATTTTACACAGCGTAGGAAAGTTATTTGGAATTTTCCCACGCTGTGTAATTTGACTCATAACATTCTGATTCCAAGCCAACCAACCAAGGACGCAATTCGTCAGTTTTGCCGGCGTTCTGTCCAATTGACAGGACGTTCGGCAATACTGATAGGAAGTATCATGGGAACAGGGAGGAAAGCTAAGGATTGTGGGAAAATGTCTCTGACCACCGGAAACGAAGCACACTTTGCTCCTCCGCTGGTCATAGATGATCAGGCGTAGGAAACCTCCAGAAGAGAAATAGTCCCTACTTTGTCTTAAGTTTTAAAGAAAACTAGAGCAGACAGGAAGAAATGAAGAACAGATCCTGAGAGAGGGAGAGAAGAGCTTTAACAGTAGTGAGACTGCAGGGACATGATCGATGTACCAAAACCAACTGTTTAAGCCACAGTTGTTGGGGCACTTAGAGTGTCCCTTTAAATCTTCAAACCACATAGATTTCCTGTAAAATCTCTAACACATCTGGATACATGTCTAAGCCAATGCTGAAATAATATATTTAAACAATTACAGATGAAACTATTTCACAGAACTTGGAAACTAATCCTTGAATTCAAACGTTTTATTTATTTGATTTATATTACAGTGAAATGAAATATCTTCCCATTGCTTTGTCTAGTCAGTAAACCCTTTGTTAATTGTATTCCCAATCTGTGTCATTTAATACAATATGCTCTTATTATAATGTTTAAATTGTTTACCTAATAGTTTGAATTTGATTTCAATACTATTAATATATGTAGTTATTTTCAGACCTTTTGTCTCCAGTTGAAATTTATGGACTTATTTATTAAAAACCCAAATTGGCTTCTAAATTGCAAAATTTGTTGGAAATCCTTGACTTGAAATTGTAATTTGAGTATGCCCTAAAGGCAATTTGAAGGCCAAGTAAGGGAAATTAATTAATGCTGTTAATGCTTGCAACTTTCAATTTAGTGATGTTTTTATTTTTATTTTTTTATGATAATATTGTTTTTAAAAGGGTTAAGTAATAAGTACCTTACATGTGTATGTCTGCTGTATCCGAAAGCTGTTATTTTCTGAAAAACAGGGTTTACAATGAATAGCCTGCAGAGACAGGCTATAGACACCAGAACAGTAAACTGTAGCTGTTCTAGTGACTATAGTGTCCCTTTAAATGTAAAGGTTATCCAGTTTCAAATAACACAGACTAAGTAGCTTTGTATGTGAAATATTACAATGTAATAGTTACAGGTAGCCCACATTCAGGCTTTAAAGGACCACTATAGTGCCAGGAAAACACACTCTTTTTCCTGGCACTATAGTGCCCTGAGGGTGCCCCCACCCTCAGGGACCCCCTCCCGCCGGGCTCTGGGGAGAGGAAGGGGTTAAACTTACCTCTTTCTCCAGCGCCAGCCCTCTCCTCCCTCTTCTCCTCCTCTTCGGCTGAATGCACATGCACGGCAGGAGCTGCGCGCGCATTCAGCCAGTCCATAGGAAAGCATTCACAATGCTTTCCTATGGATGCTGGCGTCTTCTCACTGTGATTCTCACAGTGAGAAGCACGCAAGCGCCTCTAGCGGCTGTCAAGAGACAGCACAAGTAAGCATAGCAGTTTCTCCTAGCTCCAGTTTAACCCTAGCTGGACCAGGCACCCAGACCACCTCATTAAGCTGAAGTGGTCTAGGTGCCTATAGTGGTCCTTTAATCAATAACTGCCTTAGTGTTAACCACCTGTATCCTAATTCACAAATTATAAAAATGCTATATATGCTTGGTTAGAAAAAGAAGGGCTTAACTAGGGAAGTGAAAAAATGGGTATAAATTATTTACATTAGAGCACAAAATAGTGAAGTCTTTTAAGGCTAATTAACCCCAGAATTAATTCAGTCATTCTGTTCAATGTGAGGCAATATGTGTTCTGCTACACTATTAGTCATAATCAAAAAGTCACAGACATGGTACAGCACAAGTATTCTGCCCCAAATGTATTGCGAAAGGTAGACAAAGAATGACAGAAAAGTAGAATACTTTGGCTTTAAACAGCAAATTGCAGACAGCCTACTATACTGCCCTCTCTCCCATTAAATCTAACTATAGAAAAGCAGGATACAACAGAGGGAAACTTAAAGTGAGCAGTGCATAATGTGCCCCTTCCTCAGCCACTATGGGTGTCTATCCCTCAAACCCCTGTCTGTCTCATTTCCCCCTTCCTCTCTCTGTCTCTTTTGACCCTTCCCTAGTCCCGGTCTGTCTTGATGTTCCAGGAGGGATAAGCCAAATGACAAATGATTTAGGTAAACTAGAAAAATGGTCAGAATTGTGGCAACTGACATTTAATGTGGATAAGTGCAAGATAATGCATCTTGGACGTAAAAACCCAAGGGCAGAGTACAGAATATTTGATAGAGTCCTAACCTCAACATCTGAGGAAAGGGATTTAGGGGTGATTATTTCTGATGACTTAAAGGTAGGCAGACAATGTAATAGAGCAGCAGGAAATGCTAGCAGAATGCTTGGTTGTATAGGGAGAGGTATTAGCAGTAGAAAGAGGGAAGTGCTCATGCCATTGTACAGAACACTGGTGAGACCTCACTTGGAGTATTGTACACAGTACTGGAGACCGTATCTTCAGAAGGATATTGATACCTTAGAGAGGGTTCAGAGAAGGGCTACTAAACTGGTTCATGGATTGCGGGATAAAACTTACCAGGAAAGGTTAAAGGATCTTAACATGTATAGCTTGGAGGAAAGGCGAGACAGGGGGGATATGATAGAAACATTTAAATATATAAAGGGAATCAACACAGTAAAGGAGGAGACTATATTTAAAAGAAGAAAAACTACCACAACAAGAGGACATAGTCTTAAATTAGAGGGACAAAGGTTTAAAAATAATATCAGGAAGTATTACTTTACTGAGAGGGTAGTGGATGCATGGAATAGCCTTCCAGCTGAAGTGGTAGAGGTTAACACAGTAAAGGAGTTTAAGCAAGCGTGGGATAGGCATAAGGCTATCCTAACTATAAGATAAGGCTAGGGACTAATGAAAGTTTTTAGAAAATTGGGCAGACTAGATGGGCCGAATGGTTCTTATCTGCCGTCACATTCTATGTTTCTATGTTTCTATGTTTCTTTGCCCCTTTCTCAGCCCCTCTGGGTGTCTCTTCCCCTATGCCCCTGTCTGTCTCTTTTGCCCCTTCCCTAGCATATCTGTGTCTCTTTGTGTCCCCCCAGCTCCTCTCTCTCCACAAGCCCCTATCTGCAGGGCCGGCCTTAGGGATGTGCGAGCTGTGCGGCCACACAGGGCGCCATGGCAACAGGGGTGCCGGGCGACCGACACAGCTCGCACTCAATCACTCACAGGCTGGCCCGAGTCATGTGCAGAGCAAGTCAAGTGCATAGTGCTGTGCACTTGACTTGCAAATTAAGAAGAGAGCAGCGGCCGGGAGAGAGAGGAGCTCAGGAGCACAGAGGAAGAGCGTGCTCCGCCTCCACAGTCATTTGCGGTAGGATCCGCACAGTGAGGTCAGTGCTTTGGTATCAAGGTCTGCAGACTGGGACACTGTCAGGAGTGTCCAGGGAGCAGTAAGCTTCAATGTGAGTCTGCTCATTCTTGTTGTAACTATTGCTTTTTTTTATTAAATAGATTGTTGTTTTTTTTAAGGGTAACAGGTGTTTTTGTGTGTGGGGGGTTTGCAGAAGGGGGAGCAGGGGTTTTCTAGCTGGGATTTTGGGGAAGGGGTTTTAGTTTAGGGAGGAGCAGAGGTTTTATAGAAGGGGTTAGGAGTTTTGTAAAAAAGAGGGGTAGGGTTTTGGGTAGGGGAGAGGTTTTGTAGAAGGGGCAGGCATTTGGTGAAGTGGCAGGGGAAAGGATTTTGTGAGGGACAGGGGTTTTGTTGAAGGGGGAGCAGGGGGTTTGTAGAGGGGGCAGGAGTTTAGTATAAGGGGGGCAGGGGTTTAGGATAAGGGGAGCATGGGTTTTGTAGAAGGGGAGCAGAGGTTTATATAGAAGGGGAGCAGAGGTTTATGTAGAAGGGGAGCATGGGTTTATGTAGAAGGGGAGCATGGGTTTATGTAGAAAGAGTGCAGGGCTTTTGTAGAGGGTGGCAGTAGTTTTGGTGGAGGGGGAAGGTTTTTAGTGATAATGTGTACATTGCTGTATTGTAGATATATATAATGATAGCATGTTTTTTGTTAAAGGGGGAGAAGGAACTTTTTAGAAGGGTGGGCAGTGGTTTTATTAAAGGGGGAGCAGGGGTTTTGTAGAAGGGGCAGGGGTTTTGTAAAAAGTGGAGCAGGGTTTTTGTAGAAAGGGGGGCAGGGGTTTTGTGGAAGGGTTTTGTAGTAGGCGGAACAGGGCTATTGTAGAAGGGGCAGGGGTTTTGCTGAAGGGAGGGCGACACATGTTGGGCTCGCACAGGGCGTCTGATCACCTAAGGCCGGCCCTACCTATCTGTCATTGTTGCTCGGCTACGCTAAAAGGAGTGAATGGCTGGAGAGCAGTGCTGTGCTGTGTGCTCTCCTCCTGCAAACCCCTGGGTCGGTGCGCCCTAAGGCAGCTGCCTGTTATGCCTTATGGTTGCACCAGCCCTGAATGGCACCTGTCAAGGGGTGGTGTATATTAGGCAGCAAGGAAATAATCACTTCTTGTGTTGGATGCAGGAAAAATGGAAAAGCAAAAAGATTTGAGTGACTTTGACCGCAAAATGACCCATGATGACCCCTGTTCACCACCCAAAGTGCAGTCAATGGGAACGTGAGCGTCAGAACTGGACTATGGAGCAATGGTATACGTTTGCCTGGTCTGATGAATCACATTTTCTTTAAGTTTGATGTAAGGCCAGGTGCATGTGGGGAAGAGCTAGCAGCAGGATGCACTATGGAAAGGAGGCAGGCTGTCAGAGGCAGTGTTATGCTCTGGGCAATGTGCTGCTGGGAAACCTTGGGTCTTCTCAATTATGTGGATGTTATTTTGACATGTACTGCCTACCTAGAGACTGTTGAAGACCACATCCACCCTTTTATGCCAATGGTGTTCCCCGATGGCAGGGGCTTCTTTCAGTAGGATAATGCACACTGCCTCACTGCAAATATGGTTCAGGAATGGTTTGAGGGACATGATAAAGGGTGCAAGGTGTTGCCTTGGCCTCCAAATTCCCCAGATTTAAATCTGTTTGTGCATATGTGGCATATGCTGGAACAACAAATCTGATCCCTGAGGCCCCATATCGCAGCTTTCCATACTTAAATGATCTGGTGCTAATATCTTGGTGCCAGACACCACAGGACATGTTCAGAGGTCTTGTGGTGTCCATGCTTTGACACATGAAAGCTATTTTGGCAGCACGAGGGGAACCTACATGATTTTAGGCAGTAATAGTCACAATTCCAGATTCAATGAATGCAAACATTGATTAAGGCATTTAGGAGCAAGTTTCACGTCTAGACTATAAATCCATCTGCATTTGTCCTTTAAATTGTGTATTGGAAAAAAATAACAGCTAAAGAACTATTTTTATCATTTTAAAAAAAATAGCACACTAATTTGCAAACCAACCTTTTGTAAAGCTTTTCTAGGTTTCTGGGTTCATCTACTGTGCCAAGTCCTATTAGATTCAGTGGCACGCTAACTCTGTAGTATTTGAGAGAAGGCAGAGGTGCTTGGCAAACTTCTGTTTATGTAATAAGTTCTCTGAGTTACATTTTTGGCATTATTTGTAGCCTAACAAATATATTCAGTTTTTAAGCAGATGATTAAAATGGAAAATGCAGCTGTCTGTTCAATATTTAGCATATGATTATCTAAAAAAAAAAGACAACCAGTAAACTAACCAGTGGCTTAGATAATCCAACAGAAAGATACATTCAACATTGGTATACTGCAACAGAGATTTATTATGGATAGTAATTAGGAGTACACAGAAGATAACATACTGATCCGAATCTGAGATTCTCTCTTCTAGGTGGTAATGCCTAGTAAATGTAAAAGCTGAAGCCTAGGTAGCTGCCTTACAAGAACAACTAGAAAGCTAGAATCTATCCTTCAATGGAACTTCTTCTATAACTCTGCTTGACAACGTTTAATATTGCTTATTTTTAATGTGAGATATTTTTAAAGATGATATCACACAAATCTTGGTTCTGCAGTTGAGCAAAATTCTATCTTGCAGCCCTACGTGCTGGTGTCCGGGACCCAAGAATCCAAAATTGTATTTGCCCAAATCAGAAAGAATTCTCTCAGTCTTACCCCTTGTCAGTATTGACAGGTACCCAACACATAGAACCCAAGTAATTTTGCTCACAAATAAAGGAAAGGGACCTCAGTTAGGAAAAAGGACAAATGAGTCATTTGTTACATGTGAGTTTACAGAGGAAGAGGTCCTATTTCAACTGTCCAAAGTAAAGACAAATAAGTCAATGGGGCCTGATGGAATACACCCAAAGTTATTAAAAGAGCTTAGTGGTGTACTAGCAAAACCATTAACAGATTTATTTAACCAATCATTGTTAACAGGAGTAGTCCCAGAAGATTGGAAGTTAGCGAATGTTGTGCCCATTCACAAGAAAGGTAGTACGGAGGAGTCGGGCAACTATAGGCCAGTAAGCCTTACTTCAGTAGTGGGGAAAGTGATGGAAACCATGTTAAAGGATAGGATTGTTGAACATCTAAAATCACATGGATTTCAAGATCAGAGACAACATGAGTTTACTTCAGGGAGATCATGCCAAACTAATCTTATTGATTTTTTTTTGATTGGGTAACTAAAATAATAGATCAGGGTGGTGCAGTAGACATTGCTTACCTAGATTCAGTAAGGCAGACTAGTTGGGCCGAATGGTTATCTGCCGTCACATTCTATGTTTCTAAGTTTCTATTGTAAAAACTAGAATAAACAGGACAAGCCAAGGTCAGGAGTATAGAGAGAATGTAAATGGTGAAACAAGGTCAAGGACAATAGAAATCAGAATTTTTAAAATACAAGCGTGACAAGACAAGCGCGGCCCATAGCTGGCATGATACTCTTACTTTACTGACTTGAACATGTTTGTCTTGATAAGGATTTGGAGGTGTTCTTGCTGCCTCTTAATTTGTTGCCTCTGGGAAGTTGAGAGGCTCTTCATAGGTAACTACTAGAAAAAAATGCTCATAGTCTATATTGTTTTCTATCTTGAAACAATCAGTCCTCTTGCCTTCTTGTCTTTCAACTAATAAGATTATATGTTCTGCCTTCTGTAGATAAAAATGCCTTTTTTCATTTGATGACTTTTTTGATTGCTTCAGTCAATGGTTCCCCAAAAATAAATCTCTATGGAATGGAATAATGCATAGATTTCCCTTAGAGTCATAGTTAGCACCCTATGAATAGAGCCATCTACCATATGCCACAGTCATGGCCAGGGAAGCCTCGGAGACAAAATTAGTTGATAAATTCACTTCTCTTTTAGACTTCAATAAGGTTTCTCTTCTTACTGGTGAAGAGGTGTCTCCTTTGGGAGTAAAAAGAGATCCACACCTTAATGGCTCTAGAGAGCAAAATTAATGATATGGCTGGATGTAGATATAATCCCAAGCATTAGTATGCATTGACTAAATTAGCTTTCATTCTTTTCTGCATTGGTTCTTTAAGAGAAAAGATGATGCCTGCATGGAGAGGAATATAAGCTTTTAGCAGTCCTAGATCCTCAAAGAACTTATCTGACACATCTATGGAAGTTTTCTTTTCAGGAATCTTCAATTTTACTCTGATCATTAATATGAGTTTGTCTATATCATTTGGGTCTCGGGCATGATTCTGATCCTTTCAGGCCATTATCTGCCACAGGCTGCTCACTGTTTAATAGAAGCAGAATTTACTAACACTAAGTAAACCAATTTAGGTCTTTCAGCCTTTTTGGTAGATAACTCCCTAATAACGTGGGAATTAGGGCGTTATCTACTAAGCGGCTGCAAGATGCAGCCAAGGCACGAATAGGATCGGAGTTTCATTCATTCTAATGAAATTCCGACCCGAACAAAGTCCAGAATTACGTCCCAACACGAAGGGACGAACTGTCTGGAATACTGACAGGAAGCATCGCGAGATCATGGATCAAAGGTGAGAATTGTGGGAAAATTGCTCTGACCACCGGAAATGAAGCACACTTTGCTCCTCCTCTGGTCATAGCTGGCCAGGCGTAGGAAACCTCCATAAGACAAAGTGGTCCCTACTTTGTCTTATGTTTTAAAAAATAAAACTAGAGCAGACAGGAAGAAATGAAGAACAGATCCTGACAGAGGGAGAGAAGAGGAATCGATTGCGGAAAGGTAAGTTCGGCATGACAGTGCCGCTTTAAGTCAAGGCCTACGTTAGAGAGTTTACGTAACACAGATAAGAAAAACTTCACAATTACTAAAGCAGGAATTAAAGACAAAATAAATCACCTGCATAAGTGTAACAAATAAATGTTTACTGATATCTTAAAAGAAACATGTAATTTAAAAAATATATACACTAAATGTAAAAAATTCTTGAATTTGTTGGAAACACACCAAATACAAACCATGTGACCACCAAAAAAGCCAGAAGGCAATCAGTATTAAAATACAAACTGTTTGCTTCACTCTACTGGAAACTTTACTTGATTTCAAAATAAAATCAGAGCTAAAACATACTTAGCTTTTCATGTCAATAAAATATTTCTATATTGAGCTCGAATTCAAAAGGTAATTAATGATCATTCATAGGAATACGATTCTTTGCATCTCAGGTTTATAAAACATGATTCGTATTAAATAAAACAATTTCTCTCTATGCTTTGTAAACTTATTCAAGTAATATTATTTTACTAACTTTAATTAAAGCACACTGTGGGGCCGGGGCTGAGAAGCCGAGCAAGCTAGATGCAGGCAGAGTGAGCTCTTAAGCACTTTCTGGACTTAAGCCTACAACACCCAATTCTTGTTGTCATATTTGACATGTATTCAAGGCAAATACCTTCACATGCCAGATACTGCATGGAAAGTTTGTTTTTTTAAGTTTATCTTGAAATCTTTGGGTCTAACATTGTGTGGCCTAGTAGGGCAAGCCAAGCAGCTGATCTCCTGTCCTAGATACACACACAGTACTTACTAGTCCCATTTCCCTGCCCCTTTGGACCGGTGGGTTTTATCCTAATCTAACCCATTTTACATAATCCTAATCTTGACCTGGCTTGACATAGCAAGGACTCAGTTTTTACAACCTGTATATCTATTTTGCCACAATTTAAGATAGCTGATGTTCACCATGTGGCATCTATGGAAGAACTAAACATACCTGACTCTTACATACATCTTACATTACATTCATAAATAATGCAGACTATTATCACCCTTTAATCTCCTATGTCTTAAATTCTGGAAGCCATTGAAGGAGAGGAGTGATGATGTGACCGCAAAATCTTCCCAACACGACCGAAAACCACCTCCCTGCTTTGGTACTCCACCAGAGTTTCATTTTATCATGTGTACAGAAAGATTTCAGACTTCCATTAATAGTATTGGAATAAGTTAAACATGTCTTAATAATTACTGGAATCTAGTATATATATCTTTTTTTTTTTTTTTTTATCATATTGAACCTTGACCCAAACACATAAATCTAGCATATTTGTTAGAAGAATGTGAATTTCTTGTTTCCTATAATAGAGTTCATGCATTACTGATTCATTACAAATTCATGCAGGGCATTTCAGGCCTTGTAGGCCAAAAAGGAGATCCAGGATCCTATGGTGCCAAAGGAGAAAAGGTAAGGTAACTTTAATTTATATTGTCAAACTTTTGACAGTTTATACTATTGCCTGTACCTAGCAATGTAGCTGAAAGAGGTTCCTGGTGCAAAAAAATTATTGGGCATCCCTATAGGGCAGTAGTGGCCAAAAGATAGATCTTCAGCCATTGTACAACTTCCATGATGCTTTTCCAGCTGGGGATCTGCCACTTGCGGTCTTGCACGTTTTTGCAGTGTTGTATTTGTCTTTAGCACCTGTGTATTTGAATGAAAATCTGTTTTCTAGGATGTATGTGTGTGTAAAAGTGAATACAGACGTGCGTTTGTGTGTAGGGTTGGATGCAGTAATATATTTGTGTGAAATGGTGTTTAAAAAAACATGTGTATTCACAGTAACACATACACCGAGACACACTCAGATACACATGCACAGATGCAACTTGACATAAACAGGTACATGCACACTGGCACACACAGATAAAAACACTGACATGAACCGTAAACTACACAAATACCCACAGATATACACAGTGACACACACAGACATACAGATACACACAATGAAACACACAGATACACAAACTGACACACACTGATACAATCTATCACATACACAAGCACATTGACACAGACACACCCAAGTAAAAGATGTTGGCTTCTACTCCCTCTGCACAGATATGTATTGTTTCTGTTTGCTGAAATTTCATACTTGCCTCTGCCCCATCCACAATTCTAGGTAAATGGGGACTTAGGCATAATTTAAACAAACAAAAAAGAAGTCTGCCTATGCTGCATATGTCCATGCTGTGTCAGAGGAACCAGTACAACCAAATGTATGTGGTAGGTTCTCTGATGGTGGAAGACATACCAATATTTTTATCCCATGCTGTAAGTTTAGATCTTGATCCATGTTGCATAAAAGTTTGCATTTGTGCACTACCATAGTAGAACAGTGATATTCACTTGGGCACCCACCTATCACAAGGACAGAGCCCATGGTTGTGCCATGGCCATTAAGATTTTTTAGCAGCTGTAAAGTAGTGGTACACAAAGAGGACCAGAAACATGAAATTGTCAAGACTTGTAGTCAACAGAAGGAATGGGAGCACATGTTTTCAGCCTTAAAAGAGTGGGTCTGTGTTGAAAGAAAATGTTCATGGTCAAATAAAAGAAAATCTCAATATGTGACCCTGGATCATAGTTGAGAAGATGTTTGAGTTAGGATACACAACAATCCAGAACCTCTTGAAATTATTTGCAATGTAATCTAGCATTATAATAGGTGAAGGTAAGCCAGTAGGGCACTCTAACAGTAAGGTAGGCAGAGAGTGGTGCAAGAGTGAGAGAAAAGTAATGGGTAAGTTTGGCATGTATAGTTTGTTCTTTGGACACCCAGGAGCAAGCGGAGACAAGAGGGATTCATGCTCCTTACATATCAGAGCCCCACTGCAATCGCTGATATAGGGGTTTTTTTGTTGTTGTTTTTTTTATTAAACAGAAAACTAGAATCCAGTGTTACTATTACAATTATTATCCTTGAATAGATTCTCTTGATATAATGTACCAAACAATCTGACTGATATTTTTCAGGGTAACAGGGGAATACTGGGCACTGAAGGATATCGAGGAGTGCCTGGGGTTTCTGGAGCTAAGGTAACAAATTGTACAATTTGAAAGAGATATAACTGGATTGTATGAACTGGAGATTATAGCCATCTTGGCAACTGTAGCCTAAATTTTTCAAACATCATCAAAACGTATTGTTTAGAGCGTAAATACCAAACAATAATACGTCTGGGACACTTTAATATATCACTATATCCATGGTGTTCTTGCTCACTGTCATTGACCATAAAATGTATAGATGGGGAAAAATGAGTCAACCCTTCTACCGTTACAAAAGCGACACTCAGGGTAATTCACTAAATGGGATAATTCCAACCGGAATGGCAATTCTAATATATTTACTAAAGCTAATTCTGTTCGAAATTTGGTCAATCTTACCAAATCTGTAGAATTCGGTCAACAACGTTCAGTGTATGTATAAAAATCAGTGCTTTTCTCATCCAAACCCTATACAAGGTATATGATTTGAAATATTTACAAAGCATTAATTGTATAGAAAAAAATCAGGGCCAAATACTTCTGGCAGGATTTATATTTGCAAATAATCATTCACTTGCTTATTTCAAGCAAACTATAATTTGAAAGACTATTTGCCAGGTGATAGCACTGGCAAGGCACAACGAGCCCAAACACTACAAATGCGGGATTGTCATTTCTCCCCAAGTTATTAATGCTATTGTGGTGACAATGGAAAAGGAATGATGAGCGTAGAGAAACAGGGTTTGTTCTTTATATAACCAGTTTAAATCTATCGATAGATAGAGACAGACAGGTGAATCTAACCTATATTTTTTTCCAATTCAGGGAAACATAGGAACCAGAGGACAAAAGGGAAACAAAGGAGAACGTGGGGATGAGGTAAGTGTACTATATTTCAAAAATAAAATCTTTGCAAATGAGCCACTCTAAGGGTATTGCAGCGATGCCTCGATTTCTCGATGGCAGGCTTCCGATGCTCTGCCTGTGTGCTGAGTGCCTCAAGGGGTCAAGGCATTCAGTGAAGACGTCCTTGAGGACGTCATCAGAAACATTCCCTTGAGGACTGATGACGGTCCTGAACCATCATAACGTAAAACAGGCCATCCTTATTACTTACCCGATCGCCATCGTTCCCCCGCCAATGATCAGTGTTGCTCCCAGTCTGAGGGGACTGCCTGACAGCCCAGACAGAGAGATCACATTACCGCAATGAGTCCATGCATCTGCCTGCAGGGGGACTGCCTAAACTGACAGGCAGTCTCCCTGTTACTGAAAAATAAAAGAAAATGTTAGCAAATAAAAAATAAATATTAAAAAATATAAAGATATCTTATCTATATACTGTCATACTAAATGTGTTTATATATTAAAATATACATATATTAATATAAAAATACACTTATAACTAAATTACACACGTATGTGTATATATAATATATATATATATATATATATATATATATATTATAACTATATATAAATTGTATATTATAAAATATAAAAAATAAGTAAATAAAATTTAAAAAAGTAAAAATAATTTAAAAAAATTAGTTATATATATATATATATATATATATATATAGACACATGTAATTTTATTCTAACTGTATTTTGATATTAATATATATTTAGATCAAAATACTCTTAGAATGAAATTTGATATATATATATATATTATATATATATATATATATATGTATGTATGTATATATAAATAAAAATAATATGAAATATATAAATAGATCCATATACATAATTACATAAATAATTTCATAAATATACACGTAGAGTTCAAATATATAAATATGTATATATATTTAAATTCAATATGCATATTTATGCAATATTTTTACAACAGTAAAACATATCACAGCCATGATATTGTCAGTAAAAATGAAGTTGTTTGCATTTTTCACACACAAATGGCACTTTCACTGATGATTTCATTGTTGTGATACATTTTACTGTTTTGAAACACTAATATTTGTGTTCAGCGAAGTCTCCCAAGTATAACATAACCCCCCATGCACAGGGTTTATAGTGTTTTTGAAAGTTACAGCGTCAAATGTAAGGCTTGATTTTCAGTTTTTTTCACATTGAAATTTGCCAGATTGGCTATGTTGTCTTTAAGACCGTATGGTAGCCCGGGAATGAGAATTATCCCTATGATGGCATACCATTTGCAAAAGAAGACCCCAAGGTATTGCAAATGGGGTATGTTCAGCCTTTTTTAGTAGCCACTTAGTCACAAACACTGGCCAAAGTTAGCGTTTTTGAATTTTTAACACACAAACAAATATAAATGCTAACTTTGGCCAGTGTTTGTGACTAAGTGGCTACTAAAAAAGACTGGACATACCCCTTATTGAATACCCTGGGTTGTCTACTCTAAAAAAATATGTACATGTGGGGTGTGATTCATAGATTTATGACAGATAACAGTGTTACGTCGTCACTATTGATAAATTTAAAATATATATATATATTGAAACAGCAATTTCATACTTGTACTTATAGCCCTATAACTTGCAAAAAAGCACATAAACATTGGGTATTTTTAAACTCAGGACAAAATTTTGAATCTATTTAGCAGTTTTTTTCATTGGCTTTTGTAGATAAGTAAAAGATTTTTCAAGTAAAAGTCACCAAAAGGTCTTCCGGGTCTTTTGGTGTTGCTGAGCTCACCGGTGTGTTCTTTCTTTTTAAGGATGTTCCAAACAGTTGATTTGGCCACACCAAATGTTTTTGCTATCTCTCTGAAGGGTTTGTTTTGTTTCTTTCAGCCTAATGATGGCTTGCTTCACTGATAGTGACAGCTCTTTGGATCTCATATTGAGAGTAGACAGCAACAGATACCAAATAGCACTCTTGAAATGAACTCTAGACCTTTTATCTGCTCCTTGTAAATGGGATAATGAGGGAATAACACACACCTGGCCATGGAACAGCTGAGCAGCCAATTGTCCCATTACTTTTGGTCCCTTAAAAAGTGGGAGGCACAAATACAATTCCTACACAGTTCACCTGATTTGGATGTAAATACCCTCAAATTAAAGCTGAAAGTCTGCAGTTAAAGCACATCTTGTTCGTTTCATTTCAAACCCATTGTGTTGGTGTATAGAGCCAAAAAGATTAGAATTGTGTCGATGTCCCAATATTTATGGACCTGACTGTACAACATCGCAAAAACAGGCCGGTCCTTAAGGGGTTAAAGGACTACTATAGTGCCAGGAAAACATACTCCTTTTCCTGGCACTATAGGGTCTCTAGGTCCCCCCCCACCCTTAGGGTCCCCCTCCCACTGGGCTCTAAGGGGAGGAAGGGGTTAAACACTCACCTTTTCTCCACCGCCGGGCTCCCTCAGCGGTGGGGACTCTCCGCCTCCTTTCCCGTCATCGGCTGAATGTGCATGCGCGGCAAGAGCCGCACGCGTATCCAGCCAGTCTAATAGGAAAGCATTCTCAATGCTTGCCTATGGACGCTGGCGTCTTCTCATTGTGAAAATCACATTAAGCGCCAGTAGCGCTAGGCACGGAAGCGCCTCTAGCGGCTGTCAATGAGACAGCAACTAGAGGCTGGATTAACCCATTGGTAAACATAGCAGTTTCTCTGAAACTGCTATGTTTACAGCAGAAAGGGTTAATTCTAGGGGGACCTGGCACCCAGACCACTTCATTAAGCTGAAGTGGTCTGGGTGCCTATAGAGGTCCTTTAACGTTAAGAAAACTAAAAAACGGTCTGGTCACTAAGGGGTTAAACCAAAAGTGTTGGGCAATTTATTTCAGGTCAGGGGCACATTGTAGAGTACTATGTGTATAATTATAAAGGGAAATGTTTGCATGTATATGTTTGAGCATGAGTGCGTGTAACAGAGAAAAATATAAATCCCAAACTGGCTCTGGCCTACCAGTAGGCTTAGTGGCAATTCAGATATGCTTGTGCAAACTGAGTGGTGATTGCAGGTGGTGAAGGGTAATCCTCAGTTTATGCATTGCAACACTTAGAGGAAGTGATCAATCCATATACACACATACAACCCCACAAGCAGCGTCTCACGTGCAATAATCCAAGCAACCATGCATATATACACACCAAACACTCAATGTGGCATATTATCCACACACAATATTACATAAACATCCCCCATACAGAGCCCACATTCATAAGTATCATACACAATACTATAAACTACTTATGAACATATCAGTGGCGGATCAAGAGACTGATCTCGGGAGGGGCACGTTTATATTATTTAAAGAAATAATCCATGCACAATAACCACTACAGCTCTGTGTAGTGGTTATGGTGCCAGGAGTGCCGGGACCCCCTCCCAGAGTAAGTAGTCAAACCATTTAAGAACAGTTTGACAACTTACCTGGGATCTGCTGGAATATGGGGCTGTAGTAGAGCATAGGAGCAGTGGTGTAATGTGAGGGGTGCAGTGTGTGTGTGGGGGAGGGGGTGTAGTGTGTGAATGTGTAGGGTGTGTGGGGCAATGTGTGTATGGGGGCTGTGTATGTGTGTGTGTGGGGTAATGTGTGTGTGTGTGTGTGTGTGTGGGTGGCAGTTTGTGTATGGGTGGGCAGTGTATATGTGTGTGTGGGGGTAGTGTGTTTATGGGGGACTGTATGTGTGTGTGGCAATGTGTGTGTGAGGGGCAGTGTGTGTATGGGTGGGCAATGTATATGTGTGTGGGGCAGAGTGTTTGTATGTGTGGGGGCAGTATGTGTATGGGGGCAGTGTATGTGTGTATGGTGTATGGTATGTATGGGGGGGCAGTGTATGTATGGGGGCAGTGTGTATGGGGGGCAGGTATGTGTGTGTGGTGTGTGTATGGGGGGTCACTGTATGGCAGTGCAGGTGTATGTGTGTGTGGGGGCAGTGTATGTGTGTGTGTGTGGGCAGTGTGTGTATGGGAGGCAGTGTATGTGTGTGGGGGGGCAGTGGGGCAGGTGTGTGGGCAGTGTGTGTATGGGGTATGTGTGTGTGTGGGGGTAGTGTGTGCACGGGGGCAGTGTATGTGTGTGTATGGGGGGCATGTGTGAATGTGTGTTGAGGGCAGGGGGGCTTTTTGATAAAAAAATAAATAAAGAATTTATAAAATGTAATAGATTTATGTCCCCCCTCCCTTCTTACCTTTATTGGGAGGAGGGGGGACATTTCTCCAACCCTGGTGGTTCGGGGGGATTCCCTGGTGGTCCCAGTGGTAGGAGTGAACTCTAGCCCGTAGCTGCAGGACTAGAGTTCACTCTCGCAAGATTTGGAGCGTTGCCATGGTAACCGCGGCAACGCTCCATGCTCGCGAGAATAGGACCCGGAGGAGCTGCAGACTGAGCTTCCGGGTTCTCTCTCCCTCACTCCCCTGCCGGCTGCCAGCATAATGCCTGCGGACCAGGGAGGGAGATTTCTGATCTCCCTCCCCGGTCCGCAGGCACATTGCAGGGTTGGCACTTGGAAAATGCCAGCCCTGCATTAGCCGGCAGGGGAGAATCTCGGGGGGGGGGGGCAATTGCCCTCCCCCCTGGATCCGCCAGTGGAACATATACACTATAACAGCCTGCATACATACAAATACAATGCTACAAGGCAACTGCAGCACCCATAAATAACACAAGCAGACTACGGCAATATACACACCTTAGTTTTAAAAAATAGGATTTGCACACCAAGGGACTCCCAGATGTTTTTGACACAGTTTTGGCACAGTACTACTAAAAGGTTGCCTACCCAGCCATAGGCTCCACATGTGGTGGATCCACAGTGGTGCTCATCCTGTGATTTCTGGATTAAATCTGCCAACTGCTTCCTTTTGCTATTAAAGAGCAAGCAGAAACAGGTCACAGATAACTGTGAGACCGGTTAATCAGATGAATCTACTGGCTGAGCTGCACATTAGAGACACCCCACAATGGTCGTCTAAGGGTGCTTGGGCTAAGAGAGATGCCAGGAAGGTGAAGCAAACGTCTTAAGTGCAGTCTTTAGGAGCATGAAAGAAAAATGGATTTCACGTTGCCTGACTGTTATGAGAGAGCTCCAGCTATTACTCTTAACTAAACGATAAACAAACAGAACAATAGCTGAAAATGTAGCCCATGGATCAGCGCAGCTAAGAGGAATAGGCCTTGACAGAGCCAGGAGGTAGGCATAGCAGCCACAGGAATTTAGTGACAGCTAGCATGCTGGGTAGGGCGGAGCCATAAGGGGAGTATTTATACCAGCCATTATATGAAGTGGCCATTTTAACTGAACCTAAGCTTACCTGTCAGTTGTGAAAGCTGTCTGTCCTGGAGGGAGAAGGCAGCAGCATGGAGGCAGCATAGAAGAACAGGCAGCATGGAGGCAGCATGAAGAACAGGCAGCATAGAGGCAGCATGAAGAACAGGCAGCATGGAGGTACAGGAGGCAGCATGGAGATACAGGAGAGGCTGGAGTGAGCTGCTACTACATGATCACTCCCATCAGCAGCATGGAGGCAGCATAGAAGAACAGAGGCAGCATGGAGGTACAGGAGAGGCTGGAGTGAGCTGCTGCTGCTGCATGCTCACTCCCATCAGCCTCAGACAGAGCTCCAAGAAAGCCACCATCCTGGTCACAAAGGTTGTGGCAGAATCGTGGCTGGTGGCTGCAGGAGCAGCTGGGGGCCCCGAGCACGTCTGCTACCCCCCCCCCCCACGCGGCGGTGGAACAGAGGCCAGCAAGGAGAGCGATGACACCCCAGCGGCAGCCTGTGAGTGACATCCTTAGTTCGCCAGCCCGTGAGCCTGTTAGGAGGCGGCAAGGGGAAGGCTGAAAATGAGGTCGGAAAGCAGGCAAGAGTTGGAGGGCGGCTGGCGCCGTTTTTTTTTCGACGCGGCGCCGGTCAGGCAAGGTGGCAGGTCAGGATGAGGCCGCACAGGAAGAGCGCCCCCTGCAATAAGGCGGGGGGTGGGAAAGCACAAAGGACAGCGGAATCCAGCATGACATGATGGCCGCCAGGCAGGGAGAGCGGGGACATTGAGGGGGCACTTGAAGGTGGAGGATAAGATTTGATAAAGGGGATTTGAAAAAAAATAAAACATTTCCTGTCTTCCGCTCGATGAGTTCATTGATTTAAAAGGGGTGGTTCCTAATGATGGTGCAGGAAATGCGCTCTTTCCGGGGGCTGCCGGCGCACCCCCAGGAGGTGCGGTGCTGGCTGGACAGAAGAAAGGTCAGTGCAACTAGGGACTGTCGGGCAGGCTTCGATACGGGTGTTCCGGAGGCAGTGGGAGTCACGGTGTCAACTGACGTGTCAAGAAAGGAAAACCTAAGGCAGGAAGGGTACTTGGCAGGGCTTCAGGTCCGCGATTGCGGCTCGGAGTGGCACCAGTGATGATCAGTGCATTGCTGCTGTGGCTAAGGCAGTAAGCTTCCCATGAATGCGCTAGTTTTATGGCTGGGATTGTTGAGGGGGTTTACGCTATTCCATTCAAAGTCGAGGGACCAGGAAAAGTGGTGGGCGAATATTAAGTCCATGGGGGAACTTCCGCGCCATTAGCTGACCTGTGGGTGTCTCCATGGGGGGTGGTCCCCTAGAAATGGGCGGGCAAATTCCGTCCGATACAAAACTTATCGCACCCGAAAGGGGCATCGGTAAATGAGGACATTGCCGCGGAACTGTTCTGTATCGTTGGCATCATTCGGCCTTGCCGTCGAGTTGGTTTGGGGGAACAGGACGCGTTCGATTATTGGCGACCCTTCCATCTTTTGGGTTGCATGTTTGCAGGTTCCTATTGGTAACCTCTACTTGCCAAGGGGCAGTTCCATTCATGTTCCTACTTCGGGAATCAGAAAGGGGTTCCTTAGTACATCATCTGTAACATAGCTTGCTGTGTGGTCTCGGCTGGGCCGGGCCGTTGTGGACATACCTTACGGTCGCGGGAATCCTACCGCACGTCTTTGCTTGGGCTGGAAGTTGTTTCGGTGGTAGGAGAGTGTCGATTGCCTGGGGTTCCGTTGACTGCACTTCGGGAGTTCAGGCTGAAGGTTCGCAGGTCCAAGAAGGTCACTGAGAAATCGCAGTTGTTCATAAGGCAGTTTCAAGTTGCATGTCGGGTTAGTCGCGAGGACTGGGTTGGTAGCCATTTCATGGCGAAGGCTACTTGTGGAGCCTTTGCGGGTGGTATATAGTTGTTCACGGATACCTCTGGGAACATAGATTCCGGGGCATACCTGGAAGGCAGGTGGTGCGCAGAGCGGTGGTGGGAGGCATGAAAGGTGAGTCCTCTTATTCGAAGTTGGCATCTTTTAAGTTATTTCCATTGGGAGTGGCTGTGGCTCTAAAAGGTGAAGGATTAAGGGATGAAAAGTCATAATTCACGCACAATACGGCGGGTTTCATGTGGTTTACCATCCAGCCGGGTCTTCGGTTCAGGAGGTACGCCGATGGCGGCGATTCGTATCACTGTTCAGGTATCGGGTGCAGGCATGCCACGTGCCTGGTTGGCGGAAGGTAGGGGCTGATTACTTGTCTCGCGCACAAGGGGACAAGCTGCGAATGGCGGCCCCAGGGGGCGCGGGAGGAGGGTCAGTCCAGTCTGGAGGAAATGTGGCAGCTCGAGACGCAATGCTTGGAGGATCGATACAGAATCCTATGGCACCTGGCACAGGGACTGCCTATGTGAACGTTTGAGATATGTGGGACAAGGCGGTTGGTTTCACTGTGGGGGCAAAGTCAAAGGAGGGGAGAATGGATACCTTGCTGTGGTTCCTAAGCCGTTTGTTCGTTCAGCGTTAGCTCCATCGGCAATGGACAGGAGCATGGCGGCATTGTCGTAGGGTTCAAACTGACCGATTGGGAGGAAGTGATGGAACGTTGTCACGTCCGTCAGGCATCGCGGGTCTTACAGAGAGGTATGAAATATGTCTGTGCCGGGCGGCAGGTTTCCTTGGGTAACGCAACGCCTGGTGGTGTATTACTCTACTTTTGCAGTGAGCTTGCTTGCGGTGGCCTTCTCGGAGGCTTGGGGCAATTTGAATTGGGGAACTGGTGAGTGCCTTCGGGCAGGTGTTGGGGGGTTCTACACTCGGTTGTTGAACCTCAGTCGGTTAAGGTAACGATTCAGTAGGGTTGTTCAAGAACGGATGTTTCTGGTAAAGGAGGTTTGGTAAAGCTATATTCCCTGCCGGGGTCAGGGGTACGCCCGGTGTTAAGCGCATCATGCTACTTGGAGCTTTGCCCGGACATCCCGGGTGTCTAACTGGTAAAAGGGGACAGATCGGTGCTGTCACGATTCAATTCCCGCAGGTGTTTGTTCGGAGGGGTTTGACAATGTTGGGTTTGGATCCCGGGCACTTTGGGACCCATTCTTCCCGGATGATGGCGGTAACAGAGGCACCCCACCTGATTTTAAGTGAGGACATAGGGAAACGTTTAGGCAGGTGGGAGTCAGTACGGTTTAAGTCCTGTTTCAGGCCAGTGTATTTGGTTTAATGGCTATGGACGTATGGGTTTGTGTTTGGGGCTATGCCTTGTCACTAATTACTTTTGTTTCAGGTTTGGTGACATGGTTGGTGGGTCATTATTATATCTAAGGGGCACAGATGGGAACCGCGTTTCGGTTCAAACGCAACTGGGCTTTCCTTTGGAATTGGTGGAGTAGGAGTGGTTTTGGTTTTCGGGGATTTTGGTGGCAAGACATTAGGGGAGAAGATTTTCCGGGAGGTAACAAGGGGTACTGTCCAGGACATTCTGGATATTGGCATGGTCCCGGAAAAGGAATTGATCAGGTGGAGGCAGAGGGAGGTGGACCGGCTATGGGAGCTGGCCACGGGTGTGGTGGTGGTGCGGTCCGAGATGGTTCCTCGGTTACATTGGAGACATACTATGTACCCGGCCGTGGTAGCTCGGTGTCGAGGACGACTTAATAAAAAATTGATGGCGGTATTTATCAGATGTGGGGGCGGTGTAACAGTGAGACACAATGAATTGGGAGGAAAGCTCCCTGGGTACTCCAGGTGGGATGGGGTACATTTTTGGATGTAAGGTGTGATCTGTTTAAATTGGGCCTTCAGGAAGGCATTCAACAGGCCTTATTCCGGTGTGGTGGGGATCGCTCAGGAGCTTTAGGTGTCAAGTCCTGAGCTGTGGCGGGGAATGGCCTGGTTAAATCGGAGGGGAGATGGAGGAGAAAGTGGGCATCCTGAGGTTTAGTGTGGATTGGGCAGTGTTGCACGTGGTTGGTAGGTTCGAGCCCGTCGGTGGCTCCGAACCTGGGGGTGTGGTGGTGTCTTGGTACACCCTACACTGGAACTGGTGGGTAGCGGTGTCTTGGTACACCCCTACAATGGATATGGTGGGTAGCGGTGTCTTGGTACACCCCTACAATGGATATGGTGGGTAGCGGTGTCTTGGTACACCCCTACAATGGATATGGTGGGTAGCGGTGTCTCGGTACACCCCTACAATTTAACCTGGTGGAAATGTGGTCAAATTGGGCGGCCAGTTTCTGTGTTAACATGTTATTTAGATTGTTATCTATTGTTATTATTGTGGGGTCATTGCTAGGGGTATGTTATGTATATGGGGGAGGTTATCATTATAAAGATTTGTTGGCAATGACCCCATTTGTTATTCCTTAATTATTTTATTAATAATTTAATAAAGCTGTGGACGAATTATTTCCAACAGTATAACCTGTGTCCGTGTTTTAATGGGGGTTTGGGTAAGGTTAGCGCATATGCCGGCAAATCCGACTGTGCGTCTGTCATGTAGCCACAGATGTAAATCAGTATGAATTCAGGTTTCAAGCATGAGTCACCATGGCATTTCATTCAGGGGTCAGACCAGAAATGGAGTCAAAACTGCAAAGTATAAAGTTTGCATTTTCCATGAAATATGATGTCAGATGTTCTATGTCTCTTTTGACTGATGTTGGTTGGAGTTCACAGCATATTTAGTTGATGAATGAAGTAATCTCTTACTAACCAGCTTTTTACATACAGTCATTGGTAGGCGGAACATGAATGGAGTTTTAGTCCACTAAAGGTCTATTAGCAAGTTCAGAGAATGTGTATATCACCATACCATCGCAATAAAACCATGTTTAATGTTAATACGTTTATTGCAGAGCTCCACAGCAATATAGCTCACTGTAGAGGACTATTTAGCAGTGCTCCATAGCATTACATGAGTGTACCACAGTGTTCCACAGCAATGAAACTCACAGTAATATGCAAAAGGCATAAGTATATGAGAAAGCACTGCAGCACTGATTAAAATGTGCAATGTGAAATATTGTATTACAAAACCTGCAGCAATAAAAACCGTGAGTTGTGTACACAGGCATGCACACAGGTTGTGCTGGATGTGCCTAGGTACACCCTAATGCAGTCAGAGTGCCGTTTGCTGGACAATAAAGCAGGGGGATGAAAAGACCGCGCACCTCCTCATTTTGTTTTTAAATAGCATGGTGCCAATCGATTTAACTGGTACCATGCAAACTATTGCTGTCTACCATTGATGAACAGAAGAAATAGACACGCTGTTCAGCTTGCAGATTGTCTAAATGGTGAACTAATATCCTGAAAAAATGAAGCTATTACACTTCCTGATTTTCAAAGACTGAATGCAGAAAATGTTCATAGCTCTAAGCGTATTCACATGTACGTCCGTCAGGCGACAACTGTACTCCTGATGAACTAGTTAGTTGATGAGCTGGTTAATACATCTCCTGGTGAACAAACATACAGTTAGAATAATGTGTTTACGGCAAGTTATATGACAAGAGAGAATGTTTGATTAAGCATACAGCTATGTACAGGAAAGACAGAAAACCAAATTATTTCCTCTGAAATAGCTGGCAGTAATGAATCAGGTCTTATCTTCTAATCCATACTTTATACTGAATGCATTTACTCGTATAAATCTAAGGTCTGGACTGGCCAATGTCAATTCTGTGCAAAAGTGATGCTTCCATCCTGCCCCTGTCTTCCCATCAGTCTGTCCTTCCTGACATCCTTCCCTGTCCGGCGAGGGGGAGTGACATCAGGTAAGGAAGATTGGGCTGCAGGGAGAATTTGCACACAGTAATGGAACAGTGGTAAGAGTATGCGTATAACTAATCTGTATTTTAGATACGCAATGTAATATAATGCATTTTGGACATGAAGATATTATGTATCATTAATACTATATACTGCATTATATTCCACAGGGAGATATTGGAAAAAATGGCTTAATTGGGAAAAAGGTAGGTACTATTAACCATGACACTTAAAAATTGAGTTGTATAGTTACATCCATATTGTGTCTGTATTTGCAGTGCAACATTCATAACCGCCCATTAAGTAGCATGTGAGACAAAAAAGATTAAAACTGATATTTTTCCTTGGGTATCTGTCTTGGTCTCTAGCTGCAAGCAAATCCGCCACGAAAACTACTAAATGTTTTAATATGTCAAATGGAAAAGTCACAACAAAACCGGCATGTGCCACACAAGAAAATCGAAGAAAAAGAATGGTCACAGGTCGAAGCTCACCAACAAGGACAGACAGATGTCAAAATGTAACTACTATATGACACCAAAGTACAGAAGCAAAAATTAATTTGAAATTGAATCAGCACTACCGTGACCAACATTCAACAAAAAGTTAGCAGTAACAAAAAATAAAACACAATATATGAGAATTTATGGCTAAATTGTCATTCAGAAGAAATTGTGTCCAACAATGTAACAAAAATATGTATTTCTCTGTGCAGATTGGCTTGCATTTGAAGGAAGGTAATCTGCAAGGCCAACTGTTAGATTTCATATCTGCAGTCTCTTGCCCTCATTAGGTTTGATAATTGCCCTGCAATGTCATATAATGCGCAGGAAACATAAGGCTATTTTTTAGAGCACCAGGAGCATCTCATGCTACAACTGCTGCTTCATAGTGTTTTTCCCATATTTCAGACTGATTGTATTCCAGATAGCCTGTTAAACAAATCCATGAGTGGCTTATTGAACACCATGATGAGTTCAAATACCTTCCATGGATTCCTAATCACAAAATTCCGGAGCACAAGGTATGATTCTGTGTCAATCATAGAAAGCAAATTTGTCAATATCTGGCCAATAAAAGCTCTGTAAAGTGGGCTAAAGTGGCATGAAGATTCAAAATGAGAAGAGGACACCAAGGAGAAGTCCTTAAAAAGACAATGAGAAGGAAAGACGGAAATGTAATGGTAGCAGAATAGATACTGACGGAGCGCAGTACAAGTGTAGATATAAGCAAGGACATAAAATGGTAAGAAAAAAAATGTTAGAAGGGAGGGCTCGCTGGAAAAAAACGACAAAGAAAATAAAGGGGTATAATGTAAGTAAAGTAAATGCTATAGGTCTTCGAAAACAAAATTACAAGAGTAAGATCAGAAGAAGATTTGTACACACATCATCACTGAGATACAGGTAATATATATGCTATTCTACTTTCTATATATCAGATGACTCACTACCAAAGATAAGCAAAACTCTTTATACAACTAAATACGAGAAAGCTTAAGAATAAAGTTTTGCCTATGCAAGAGTTGTAATGAGGCACTGAATGTTTATTGCAGTCAATAGCCTATCATAACACTGTGTGTATTTAAAGGATTCCATACATATACATATCATAAAACACTGGTATAATACATAAACTATGGTTCAACAGCTATGCTTTCTGGCCTTTTCTTTCAACTAGGGTGAAGATGGTGAGCAAGGTTTGAAAGGTCCTAGTGGCATCCGAGGACCTCGTGGAGAAAAGGTAATAAAAATATGAATAAATAAAAGAGCATATATATAAATTATACAGATAATAATGTAATATATTGCCCATAATTTATAAAGTGTTTAATTAACCAAAGGTAATACTATATAAAAGCAATATACCGTGCTACACACATTAGCGGTGTATAGAATCATACATTTTCCAGACGTTTTTAAACATTGGAGGGGAAAAAATGCTGAGCAGTTAAATGGACACTATAGTCACCAGAACAATTACAGCTTAATGTAGTTGTTCTGGTGAGTATAATAGCTCCCTTCAGGCATTTTCATGTAAACACTGACTTTTCAGTGAAAAGGCAGTGTTTACATTGCCCCTAGGGACACCTCCAAGTAACCAGTCCTCAGATGGCCACTGGAGTACTTCCTGGCTCAGTGCTGCACAGTAAGCAGACCTGCCATTCAGCGTCCCCACATTTTGCAAGGAGACGCTGAATATTAGATAGTGCTAGTGCTACACAAGCTGAAGAGTTTATAAATAATCTGTTGTAAAAGAATTGTGAATATATATAATGCAAAATCAATGTGATAATGCCATTCAAATAAATGCAGTGTCAGAATGAAACAATTAAAGTGATAGTGCTTTGCTGTATATACTCACAATGCAATTTATATATCTGCTCTATGATAATTATTATCCCCAATCCCCAATGACCACTGCAACACAGTCAGTGATTACAAACAGGGCCGTCTTTAATATTGATTGGACCCTGGGCAAGCATCTGCTTGGGCCCCCTGGGCATGCAATCACTCCCTCCACCCCAACCTAGAGGCGAAACTAATGTAGAGAGTGCCTTGGTGCAAAAAAATAATAATTCAGGCCTGCACTGTAGCACAAGAGTAAAGAAAAGATAGATCCCCATCTGTCATACAACTCCTGCGATGCTATGCCAGGTGGGGATCTACCATCCTTGCAGGGTTGTATTTTTGAGCAGTGTTTGTGCAATTGAATGTCAGCATGTTATTGTATAGAGTGTATGTGTGCATGTAGGAGTGTATTTGTATGTACTGTTACCATTGGAATGCAGTGGTGTACTTGTGTGTAGTGTTTGCGTTTGAATGCACTAATGTGTGATTGTCGGTAGTGTTGGCTTTTAAATGCAGGTGTACTTTTGTGTGTAGAGTTGGTGTTTGTATATAATTTTAGCGTTTTAATACAGGAATGTGTTTGTATGTAATGTTTGTATTTGCATGCAGGGGGTTGTTTGGATGTAGTGTTGTGTACATTTGTGTGTAGTATTGGTGTTTCAGCAAACTGGTGTGTTTGTATGTAATGTTTGTGTTTGCAGGGCTCTGTTTGCATGTTGTGTGATTTCTATAACACATATACACATACACATTAACACGCAGATACACACATAGGCACACTGACACATGCTCACACCTTGACACATACTGGCACATACACACACACACTCAGATACACACCCTTTGACACACAGATACAAGCACTTTGATACACACACACACTGGCACATCCACACACAGAGGTACACACACACACTGACACAGGTATGTACACACACACTCAGATACACACATACATAAAGGTATAAATGCAGGGGTGTATATGTGTACAGTGCTAGAGATGGAGTGTATTTGTGTTGGCATTAAAATGCTGGGATGTATGCATTACCACACACTCAGATGCACACTTACACACACTGACACATACATACACACATACACACACACACACACACACACACAAACACACACACACACAGGTACACATACACACTGACACACAGACAAACACAGCCAGATACAAACAATGATACAAACACAGCCAAATACACACAAGGACATAAAAACAGCCAGATACACATACACATATATGTGTACATTTACATATTTTAATCTCTGCCTTCTAGCAGCTCTTGGACAGCAACTCCCAGCAACCTTGGCCATAATAATGTCTCAACTCTGTTCTTACATACCCTGGTCCAGAATTTGGCAAAAGTGACATTTGAAAATGGTATACAGCCTTTGATAACACTTGATGCAATAATATGTTAAAATAAATACTTTTAAAATTTATATTTAATAGGGAACTGTCAGGTTCTTCTAGGATTTTTAACATGTACTTATTCCCTGTGTGTTACATTACAAACACCAACACTTGAATAAAAGTGATATCAGAAATAAGCAAAACAAAAAAACAAAACATATTTAGCCACCCTCCTGTCTCCTTACATTTTGGGTACAGAAAGGTGGCTTCCCTGGGGTCCAGTGAGAGCTTGTTGGCCCAGGCTGATGGGAGTCTGCCATCAGCTTTCTCAGTCCCTCTCCCCAACAATGCTTGCATCCTCCTCCATGTGGTGTGTGCCTCCTCCCCAGCGGCACTGAGGAGGAAGTGATCTGACCTCACTGCCTCCCAGCATGCCACGGAGAAGAAAAGGGATCACAGGGCAGTGTGTGAGGGGCTAGCTGTGTGTTTGTATTCAGCCAACCCCCATATTACAAGGGCCCGGTCTAGAGCAGTATTAAAGGGCTGTGGCCCCTGATTACCTCAGGTGCTGCAGGGGGCCGTGGGGCAGCTGCCTTACGGCCCCCAGGAGTAACTGGGCCCGGGGCAGCTGCCCCTTTTGCCCCTCCTTAAAGAAAAAAGAAAAGAAAAACTACCACAACAAGAGGACATAGTCTTAAATTAGAGGGACAAAGGTTTAAAAATAATATCAGGAAGTATTACTTTACTGAGAGGGTAGTGGATGCATGGAATAGCCTTCCAGCTGAAGTGGTAGAGGTTAACACAGTAAAGGAGTTTAAGCATGTGTGGGATAGGCATAAGGCTATCCTAACTATAAGATAAGGCTAGGGACTAATGAAAGTATTTAGAATTGGGCAGACTAGATGGGCCGAATGGTTCTTATCTGCCGTCACATTCTATGTTTCTATCTTAACATGGATGGAAACTCTCTGGTTCTAATACTCTTATAGTACTTGTACTTTCTTTGTTTTTTATTGGGGTGGGGTAGCAAATTATAGAAGGCATTTTGATAAGGGGTGCCCTCAAATGCACAAGATTTAGGAAATAGTTATTCTTTTCAGACTATCATTTACTACTGATTATCCATACTTCTTATAGGAATTAGACTTTTGTTCAATCATCATCATGTGTCCGCTAGATTTATTGTCCTACCAATGTTAAGATTTTAAACCGCTATTACCATATCGGCGGTTAGTAAATACTAGCAGCAATCTATTTTCTTATCCTGCTGGTTTTCTGGATTACTTATCATATATATAAACTAACAGCAACGCCGTTACCATATCGGCAGTTTAGAATAGCAATCTTTATACCTCTAACTGCTGCCTTTTGGCATTACTATGTCAGCTGTCATAAAACACTAATAGTAATCTTATGGAGAACAAAAAACAGGGCGCTAGAGAATACTGAGAACAGGCAGCAGCTGAAATAGCCTGCCCTTCGGTGGGTCCCCGCTCAGTTCTCAAGCTGGTTTTAGCTCATCTTGTGCCATTACAGAGAGAACATCTCTGAAACATATCAGACTGGTCCCACCCATACGGGCAGTCCAGATCCAAAATGCCAGCAAGTTCCCTCTGCACGAGAGATACAGCAACTCCAGACGATCGTTTCATCCTTGTTAGGCATCAATGATGATGCCTAACAAGGCTGAAACGATCGTCTGGGGTTGCTGAATCTCTCGTGCAGAGAGAGCCGGTCTGTATTTTGGATCTGTTCTGCCCTTTAGGGTGGAATCAGTCTGAGATGCATGGTCTGGTTCTCTCTGTAATGGCACAAGATGAGCTAAAACCAGCTTGAGAACTGAGCGGGGACCCACCGAAGGACAGGTTAATTGAGCTGCTGTCTGTTTTCAGCACTCGCTTGCGACTTGTTTTTTTTTTGCTCTCGCTAATAGTAATCTCTCGCTTAATTTATCATTCTACCAATTTTATGGTTATATACCGCTGTCACAATGTCGTGGTTTGATAATACTAGCAGCAATCTAATTCCCTATTTTGCTGTGTCTCTGCACTACTTTGAAAACAGCTACAAAATATGAATAGCAGCGCTGCCACACTGCCGGCAGTGAAAAATATCCATTACCAGCAGTAATCATATACTTTATACTGCTGCCTTTCGGCATAATTAATGTCAGCAGTTATAAAACACTAATAGTAAGCTGAGTACTTCTCTCCCTGCCTCTTGGCACCATGCCTATTTCTCGTTCATATTGCTGGTAGACAATTATTAAGCAGCAGCAATTGACTGTTCCTCTTATCAATCCCGTTTGTTCGGGTTTGTGCTCTCTCCCTTGTTTAGATACAAGTGGCAACATGACTGGTGTATAGTCGCCATATGGGCAGTCGGAACCTTGGACAAAACCCCCCCACATACTTATCCCAATAACACGCTGACACTAGGGTATATGGGTCAAATTGTCCACAGCTTTTATTACACAAATATATAATAATAACGATAATAAAATAATTAATAATCATAATAATGATAATAATTTAACATAAAAACATGGGTCATTGCCCCCATACTGGGCCCTCACATCCGTATCCTTCTTTTAATATAAAAGGCAATGACCCCAACATAACTAACACATATATATATATATATATATATATATATAACAATGTTCAACCTTACTCCAACATGAACAAATTCGAGTGCCAACCATAAGTAACCACGGCAGGGGTATACCCGGATAACCCTACCCAACCAGGTTCTGAGCCACCTCCAGGACTCGAAACTTACCAACCACCAGTGACCACAATTTTTCATGTTCATCCCGTTCATCATGGGGAGCCTATTTCCTCTTCCTCAGCTCCCTATCCCGCCACAAGCTCAGACCTTGACCCCTTAAGCTGGTGAGCGGGCAGATAGGGGGGGAGTGAGCAAGTTTCCCCTGGGGTGCGGGTGGCGGGAGGGGGGGTACCAAAGGGGGCACCAGGCAACTTGCGGGGCTTAGGGGGGGCTGGAGGAGGGCGAATTTCGGAAGCAAGGGGGCCAGGGTCGCCGGACAGTACACAGGGGGCGCTGGGAGGGTCCTCTGGCCTGGCAGGCAAGGCTGGGGAGACGGGTGTTGAGGCTAGGGCCTCCGAGCCTGCCTCCGCTTCCTCCCGCCGCCTCTTCAGCGCCAGTGTCGCTGGCCTCTGGCCCCGTGCCCGGACTCAAGCGCCGTGGGGGCCTCCTGGCCGTGCACCTCCGCGTCCACCCCTGCCATCCCTTCCCGCTGCCGCCGTCAGGATCTGTCACAGCTGGGCTCGCACCCAGTCCGCTCCCTGTTGCCGCGCTGCCGACCGGATGCCTTCCAGGAGCCTCTCCATGTTGTCCATGGCCCTGCAGAAGGAGACAAAAGAAGAAACCCTACCCAGCAAATCCGTGAGCACCGGAGTGCACACAACCTCGACCAGGTAGGAGATTAAAAGTGCTCATTCCAAAAAATGGCTGCCTATTTAAATAGACAAACCCCTTTTCCCACAACTCACCAGTCCTAGCCGCTTCCTCCTCGGCCTGCCTCTTAACCCCTGTCAAGGCCCTTTTTCGCTGAGCTGTGCTTTGGCTGCATGGGGCTACATTACTTGGTTTTGCCACTTTGTTCTCAATCCTTACCACAATATATTTGAGCTCTTTTAGACAGTGCTACCAATGTATTTATACCACTTTATTGTATATTACTATTATAGCCTGTTCTATCTATTAGAGCCATACTATGGAGAGTCTCTTTCTCCTTGTTGTTTTTAGCTTCTTTTCATATTTTTTTTTCATACTTTTTCATATATTTTAATTTATTAAATAAAAGTTATATTTTATGTTACTACATATTACATACTCCTTTTAGGTAGCATAGAACACTTTTTTTCTTTTTCTTTTTCATAATGGGAACACCCACATCAACCACTATATTCAAAACAGTCACTCCACCAAGAAAAGAACATTGATATTTGTGGCTAAGAGTGGATAACCTTTGTGATATCCATTCTCAGCAATATCTATTATTTGGGACAACATTCATTTCTGTTTGAACAAAATGAGAAGGTCTGTAAGAGACACTAAAAGGAAACATTCGCTTTTGATATGTTATGGTATGTATTAATAAATTGCATACTTAGTTTAAAATAAGAACGGTTTTGTAACTGGTTAATAATTCTCCTAATTAGTCTCATATTTAGTCTGTGCTACAGTGTTTCCTACATATATATTTAAGACACATGTCTTCAGTATATTGAAGACACATTTGGAGATACATGTGCTGCAAAACATGTAAATAAGGGACGATCCGCTGATTATATCACGGTGTCAACTAATCATTCTAATATATTGTTCAGAATTGCTTTTTACGCATTCCACATTTTCTTGGGTTCTTAATAAGAAAGACATACATTTGAAATCAAATGATTTGTTTGATTGTAAACCAAGCTTAACAGAGGGGACATAGAAAAATGTCCCCTAGGGACAGAGCTACCTAAGACTTGTCTATAGGCTGAATTGTAGGTGGAGATAAGTGAGGTTGAACACAGTGGTCCCCAACCCAGTCCTCATGGACCACCAACAGTTCATGATGTATGTGTGTCCCTGTTTAATTCCAATGGAGATACTGGCAAAAACTGGACTGCTGGTGGTCCATGAGGACTGGGTTGGGGAACACTGAACAGACTGGCTGAAATATTGCATTGTACAGCCAAACAGGAAGCATAACTGACTTGGAAAATTTGACTAGTTTGTCTGTATTGACCTTCCATTTGAAATTCACTTTGAATTCTCTGTGAACTCCTGACAATTCAATTTTAGTGAATGTTCTTGTTAAACTTTCCTATATGCTCTTTTTAACTTATACTGAACCATTAGTCTTTTTAATTGAGGTGACTTGGCAAGAAAATGAAACATTTTTGCAGTACAATGCTTAATATTTAGTACATTTGTGTATAATTATAAGTCAAATATTTTAGAACGTCTAAAGGAAATGATCATATCACACACTGTACTAGCCAGTGAAGCTTTATTATTATTATTTGTGACTTAAAACTCTAATCAAGCCATTGCTGTATCTAAATATTTTTAGCAAAACTCGAAAAAAGGTCTTCAAGTCAGCTATGTTTTCACTTCATCTAGTTTGACCTCAAATTCAAGTTCAGTTACATTTATTCTGAATTTCCAACAATTTACTTTAGTTAACAACCACGTGAATGTGTTTAAAAGGTGGTGATCACTGCAACAATCAGTTATCACAAACTTGTGAGAATTTTAAGAATTCACTGCAATTTAAAACCTGAAAATGTTCATCTGACTAATAAAGTTTTAGGTCTCATCACTGAAACTCCTCCTGGCAACATACAAACTATGATGGATTCCATCATAACTTTTGGATAAGGGACAGAACAGATTACAGAATGTGAACAGGCCAGATAAAATGAATAGAAGAACTAGTCAATAGAGAGCTTTTTTGTAATAATCAACTTCATGATTTATCTTAAAGGACCACTATAGTGCCAGGAAAACATACTCGTTTTCCTGGCACTATAGTGCCCTGAGGGTGCCCCCACCCTCAGGGACCCCCTCCCGCCCGGCTCTGGAAGGGGGAAAGGGGTTTAAACTTACCTTTTTCCAGCGCTGGGCGGGGAGCTCTCTGCCTCCTCTTCTCCTCCGTTACGCCCCGCCGGCTGAATGCGCACGTGCGGCAAGAGCTGCCTGCGCATTCAGCCGGTCACATAGGAAAGCATTCATAATGCTTTCCTATGGACGCTGGCGTGCTCTCACTGTGAAAATCACAGTGAGAAGCACGCAAGCGCCTCTAGTAGCTGTCAATGAGACAGCCACTAGAGGATTAGGGGGAAGGCTTAACCCATTCATAAACATAGCAGTTTCTCTGAAACTGCTATGTTTATTAAAAAATGGGTTAACCCTAGAAGGACCAGGCACCCAGACCACTTCATTAAGCTGAAGTGGTCTGGGTGCCTAGAGTGGTCCTTTAAAACTATTTAGGAAATACTAATGATGTTGCTAATTTTGTTATGGCTTTAAAGGACCACTATAGTGCCAGGAAAACATACTCATTTTCCTGGCACTGTAGTGCCCTGAGGGTGCCCCCACCCTCAGGGACCCCCTCCCGCCGGGCTGGATGGCGAGGAAAGGGGTTAAACTTACCTTTTTCCAGCGCCAGGCGGGGAGCTCTCCTCCTGATTTTCACAGTGAGAAGTACGCATGCGTCTCTAGCGGTTGTCAATGAGACAGCCACTAGAGGCTTTGGAGGCTGGATTAACCCTATTATAAACATAGCAGTTTCTCTGAAACTGCTATGTTTATAAAAAAAAAGGGTTAGTCCTAGAGGGACCTGGCACCCAGACCACTTCATTAAGCTGAAGTGTTCTGGGTGCCTAGAGTGGTCCTTTAAGGGCATATAATGCTCTGGTTAGTACATTTTGCATCTTTGGCCATGTATCTAAGTCTAGTGTTTATTGTATAAGACTATTTGATGTTTTTGATTGAATAACTGTTTCTGTTTTTTGCAGGGCAAGGCTGGGCCTATAGGCCCACAAGGACATGAAGGCGTTACTGGAGAAAATGGCATTGCGGTAATCAAACAAAGAAAACATTTAATAACTATAAATAATAATTATCTGACCGTGGCTGATTTATGTATATTCAACAGGGAGCAACTGGGGAAGTAGGCATTAACGGTTACAAGGGAGAACCTGGCCCCACTGGACCGGAGGTATGTGTTTATTAACTAGTTTTTTTGTTGTTTTATAATTGCAATGAATTAGTCATGTAGTTGTATCATTTGTTACACTCTTTGTAATAGGTAATATGGACTGTAATTATTAGTGGTTGATCAATAGAAGGAAACAATGTCGCAAGTGGATTCAATCCACTCAAATACATCTAGAGCTGTTGAAGAAAAATAGATTATACTTATTCTTCATCCTGCTGTCACAGATGTTAGAAATTGTAATAATCTAGTACTGTGTTTTTTTTTTGTTTTTTTTTTATAAATATGTACATTGCGTTGTATGACTGGTATTATTTGTTGGGGGGAAATAATAACAATAGAGTATTTGTTCTTTAAAGTTCTTTAAAGAGACCCTATACTTACCAACAGAACTACAGCTTAATGAAAGTTTTTGTGTATAGATCATTACTCTGAATTCTCACTGTTCCGTGATCTGCCATTTAGGAGTTAAATCACTCTTGTTTCTGTGTATGCTGTCCTAGCCACAACTCCCCTGGTGTGACTCACGCAGCCTACATGAAAAAAATGTTTTCATTTTCAATCAGATGTTAACTTGCTTTAGAAGTTTTTTTTCATCCTGCTCTGTAAATTGAACTTCACACACAGAAGGCTCCTGCACGATCTAGAAAGCTATTAACAGTGCAGGAGATAATAAAAACAGACTGTGCAATTAAGGAAGTAAAACATCTCTCTTTACACAAAGTGTTTAAGGAGGCCATGTGAGTCACATGCAGGGAGGTGTGACTAGGGCTGCATAAACAAAGTGATTTAACTCCTAAAAGTCACAGAAGTGAGCAATGAGACTGCAGGAGCATGGTCTCTACATCAAGACTGCTTCATTAACCTAAAGTTTTTTTTATGACTATTGTGTCTCTTTAAGGTTCAAAAGGTGAACTCTCAACTGAACTGCAATTTCCATGTGGCGTTGCCAGCCTTAAAAAACCCTCTAAGATTAAAAATAAATATATTTCACTTACCCCTATGTATTATATTTATTTTCTCTCCTGGAGTGATTGCACTCCTCTTTTTGTTAATGAAGATCTTGTCAAGCTTTATTTTGCATATATACAAAATTTACACATATAAATAAAGTGTTAAAATTATAGAGTTTATATTATAAAAAGTTTTTCTAGTGACAGGCAATCTCCATCAGTCGGCTACATCTCTTCTATTGATGATCTGTAGTCCAGTCCAATGTTTTTCACAGATAAACATTGAGAACCTACCATGCATCAGTGGCAATTTCCAACCCAAGCTAGCTGGATACTTCTCATAGAGAAGTGCTAAGTCCAATGCTTGTCTTTGAGAAGTATTTACAGCATTTGCCATCATCATGCTGTGCAAGTTGACAATGAACACAAAGTCTTCACTGAAGAAGTTCCGTAGTGGCTGTCAACTCCATTACAGCTGGAGATTACTTTAAGGCTACTGGCCATCTCTGTCTCAGAATGACAAGGCAGTGGCACCATACACTAAATACATTTCCTTTCTACACAACTGCATTTGGAATGGTATATTGCAGTAGCTATCCCATCCTATCTCAGGCTTAAATATTTAGATACAAACATTAACAAACATAAATTAAGTTAGCTTCAGTTTATTCTTTGTTTGTTCTCTAATAAACTTAGATATATATTTTGAACAGCTGCATCAACTGAAATCATTTTATGTTTCTAGATGAATTAGTAGACTGTTGACCTTGATCCAAATTGAAATTAACATAATCTCCAAATCATTCTTGCCTACTATGAGCAATAAGTAAAAAACATTTTAAAACATAAACCTTAATATATTCATAAACATTTACACTAATTTAGAATTTTAAATGTACGTCTTACCAGTGTCAATATCTTCTTTAAAGTAATACTTTAGTGTTAAAAATACAAACTTATTAAATCCCCCCTCCCCCCAATTCCATTCAGGGAAGTGTTATAACCTCTTTTTCCCCCACTTACCTCTTTCCAGCACAGAGGTCCCTCAGCATTGGCTTGGTCTCCTCCTCACGTGGTGTCATGCCGAGTGGGGAACCTAATGTGCATGCATTAGTGAGCACCACGTGCACATTAGTGTTTCCTCATAGGAAAGCATGGAATCAGTGCTTCTCTATGGGTAATGTGAAGACAATAGACATTCACATGTCTGCCACTGCCCATCAGACACCCTCCTTTTACTTTCTTGTCTAGGTGGGAGGGTGGCTGTTCATCTGACCAGCATCTTCAACTGGCTCCCCTACAGTATCCTTTCAGTGCTCTCTGTGAATACAGGGTGAGGAGAGAAGATGCTATAGCCCTCTCTCGCCTCCCAATCTGGACCGCACCAGCTCTAACACCGAGGAGCACTACGGTAGTTATAGAGAACAAGTCTCTTTGTTCAGCGCTCTGATGCTCATAGTGTTGCAGCTCCTGCTATCACGGCATTACAAGCAGTAAGGAGGTTTTTAGGGGACAATTTGCTAATTAAATGTGCTTGCAATAAATTAATTTTGTGTGCTAATGGACAAATTGCGTATACTTGATTCCGGGGCATGGTGGCATAACATGGGAATCGTGTATACATGAGTATAAGTGCTTTATTCCAAAATAGATTATCCTGTTGTATGGCGTTTCCAAAACCATATGAGCAAAGACTATTATACCGGCCTATGGTCTATGTAGTTAAAAATTTGCAAGACACACAAATTAAATATATACAAGGACATGATGATTGTATGTGTTAAAGTCCAGTGTACATCACAAATGATAGGCATACCTACAAAAATACACTAGAAAATGATATTGATAAATGGGCTTACACCAAAGATACTTATAAGGGTGACTTTTTTTCTGTGCAATAACCATACTATAGTATGGAAGTGCCGAACCGAACCCCCGAAGTGCTTTGGATTTCTGAAAAACAAGAGAGGGAGGGAAAATTACATGACTGATGACAGGAATCTAGACCAATAAGCTAATTCCTGGCACTGGGAGCCCTATAGATGTGTAAGTGGTTGTGGTGGCAGTCCGGGCACCTAACCCTACCCGTAACCCTACCCCTACCTCTAACCCTAGATGTGTAAGTGGTTGTGGTGGTTATGGGGTAGGGTTAGGGGTAGGGTTATGGAGCCCTACAGATGTGTAAGTGGTTGTGGTGGCAAGAGAGGTATGCTTACCAATGTCTGGAGACCCGAATTTCATAAGTGCCGAACCGCCGAATTGCTGTAGTGTCAAATATTTTTTAATTACCCGAATTTCCGAACCGAACTGGATTTTTTGCCCATGCACATCCCTAGTGTACATTAACTACATGCTGATTATTAATGACTTAATTTAAAAAAATGAAGAATCTGACATTAATACTTGCTCACCATTTTTTTTCATTCATTCATTAGGGAAGTAAAGGTTTGAAAGGACCCGTGGGTCTTCGTGGTGAACCTGGAGCACCAGGTGACAGGGTATGTATGAAAGGCATTGTGTCTATAATATGAAAGTATAACATTCAGAAAAAATGTGAATATCATTTTTACAGGGCTTTTCACTACAGAGAGAATTGCTGGGAATTCAAAAATAATTTCAAATTTAGGACAAAATAGCTGAATTAGAGGAATTTTCCAAATAAATTCTGTTTTCAGTTCTACCCTGGTTTGTAGCCACCTTGCTGGGCAATCTGTCTTGTGCTGGTAAAACACAAAAACTGCGTAATTTGCACAGCACTGGGTATATTGAGTACAGTAACAAAGTTTAGTTTGACAGCCAATTAATGACAGACTTTGGCCTACAATTACAATCCAGCATCAGCAACCGATTGATGACATTTTGTGAGATCACAGCCTTTGTTGTATCGGTAACGTCACCAACTTCAAAAAGCTTGAGAGGCAGATATTGTAAAGTTAACAAAACATTGTCACCTTTGAGGTTAATGGTTACAGACAGTAAAGTGCCTTGATAATGCTAAAATAGGTGAGGTGTGATTAGACTGGGGTATCCCATATGAACACTGCAAACTAAGTTCAAGTAACCTCTAACCTGACATTTCATGTGTCATTTTAGTTACCTTTTAGATATATTTTAGTTACAGTGCTTGTTTGTCCTTTAATTGTTGTAACTGATTTATGGGCAATCATTAGTTAACTTGCTTGTACACATCGTCAGATTGGGAGAGGAGTTTGTGTACGCACTGCTCATACTCCAACATTTATAAATATTTTATGGCATCATAGTTTAGTGAATAATCTTGAAAGTTAAAAAAAGTCTCTTTGAAAGAAATATTTTAAATATTGTGAGGCTTGTATATAAATTTTGAGTAATTTTACCAGTTATTGAGAATTTAATTTCATACCTGTCTTAATTCTTACCGTATGTATTACCTCTCCTAAAATATCTGATGATATATTTTTTTAATTTTTGAACCATAGAAAGAGCTTTGATTTTTAAACACCAATGTTTAAACGTAAAAGGAATTCAATGCAACAGAGTCCAAGCAGTACATTAATGATCATCGGTATTGCTTCATTTAAATTTTTGCAGAATTCTGGCAGATGCAGTTATGTGCATATGTAACAAATTTAGAAAGCAAAGACGTGAAGTTACACAGAAGTCTTAATATCATTAAAAAGAAGCAATATAATACTTTGAATGCTCTTATAAAATATACTCAAAGGAACACTCCATAAAAAAAATAATTAGTAGGTATACCTGTTAAAATTTAGCAGAGGTGTATTAGCAGAATGTAGAGTAGGGCACACATATGAAGCTAAGTAATTAAAGGATCACTATAGTGTCAGGAAAACAAAGCGGTTTTCCTGACACTATAGTGCTCTGAGGGTGCCCCCACCCTCAGGGTCCCCCTCCTGTGGCAGTGAAGGGGTCAAAACCCCTTCAGCCACTTACCTTATTCCAGCGCCGGGCTTCCTCGGTGCTGGTGACTTCTCCTCCCCCGCCAACGTCAGCTCCCTCAATGCTTTCCTATGGACGCTCTGCGTAATGGAGGCATAATATGAGGCTGTCTTAACCCTGCAATGTTTGCATAAGAAGGGTTAAAACCTGAGGGACATTGAACCAAGACCACTTCATTGAGCTGAAGTGGTCTGGATGACTATAGTATCCCTTTAAGAATCCTTACAGTGATTTTCTTAAAGGACCATTCCACACCCCAAGAACACTTCAGCTTACTGAAGTGCTTTATGGGTAAGGAGCATCCTAGTTAGAGAGGCGACTGGGGTCATTATGGCACCATAACAACTTAATTTAGACTACGTTGTTATGGTAATTGGAGTGTTCCTTTCCGTGTGTTATGCGTGTGGAGTGGTATGTAGGCCAGAGATCTGCAACAAAAGAACAACATGTAACTATAACTACCATGAGGATTCACAAAAAAATTTAATCCACCATGAAGTGTCACTTTAACGTCAGGTTGCTTTAAAATCACATAACACTTATAAATAGAATTATTAAAGAAACACTCAGCACCATAACCACTATATGCTGATGTTGAGTAATATGCCCTCCCAGTAATCAAGTAGTAAGTAGTCAACCGACACCGCCTTGCTTCCGGATTCTCCTGCAAGAGAATCGAGTTATTATTATTATTATTATTGGTATTTATATAGTGCCTACTAATTCCGCAGTGCTTTACAATATTATGATTTATTTACAATAAATGAGACCTTTGCACAGTGACACAGGAACAATACGTAGATGAGGGCCCTGCTCAAACAAGCTTACAGTCTAGAGGTGGGGTACAAATACACAACAGGGCAGCAACGGACAGCCACCAAACAAGGTGGAAAAGAAACATAACTGGAGTAAAGAGAGAGTGGAGTGTTGCTCTTTAGAAGAGCAAGAGACAGATATGGGTAGGTATAGAAAAGTTACTCAAGGAGTCCATAAGCATTTCTGAACAGATGTGTTTCGAGGGACTTTTTACAAATTTAAGACTAGGGGAGAGTCTGATGGGGGTAGGTAGGCTGTTCCAAAGGAAGGGAGCCGCTTGCGAGAAGTCCTGCAAGTGTGAGTTAGCAGTAAGGGTGCGAGCAGCGGACAGGAGATGGTCACCAGAAGAGTGAGAGACTGAGAAGGGGCATATCTATAAATCAGTGAAGAAATGTAAGAGGGGCTACGTTTGGTTAGAACTTCATAGGTAAGGGTTAGTATTTTGAATTGACACCTGTAGGATACAGGAAGCCAGTGTAAGGATTGACAGAAGTGCGAGGTATTGGAGGAGCGACGGGTGAGAAAGATCAGCCTGGCGGCAGCAATAATTACTGATTGTAGCTGGGCAGTTCGGCTTCTGGGGAAACAGACTAGGAGAGAATTACAGTAATCCATGCGAGCAATTACCAGAGCACGAACAAGCTCCTTGCAGCATCTTGCGTGAGAAAGGGGCAGATGCAGGCGATGTTTTTAAGGTGGAATCGACAGGTTTTCGCATCATTCTAGATATGAGGTGCAAAGGCGAGGTCAGGATCAAAGATAACACCAAGACAACAAGCTTGCAAGGATGGACTGATGCAAATATTGTCAACTTGCAGGTAAAGCGAAGGAGGAGGATCAACATTATGAGGGGGGAAATAAGCAGCACAGTTTTAGAGAGATCTAGTTTCAGAAAGCGGGAGGACATCCTGTCGGAGATGGAAGAAAGGCAAGCAGTGACACTGTAGGACCACAGGGGGAGAGGTCAGGGGAGGAGTGATATATCTGGGTTTTGTCGGCATACAGATGGTAGCGGAATCCAAAGAAGTTAATGAGTTAGCTCCACTAAACTAAGCAGGACTGCTCTCATTGGCTAAGAGTGTTGGTTAAGCGCTCTCAGCCAATGAGCGTGTTTTTTCAGGCCGTGTTTAGATCTACTGCAGGAAAATCCAGAGGTACGTGGGCGCCCCGGGGACCCGATATGTTGTCAAACCATTCTTAAATGCTTTAGCTACTTAGTCAGGAAGGGAGCCAGGACACTCATGGTGTCATAACAACTACAATGGGCCAGAGTGGTTTGGGTGCTTGGAGAGATCCTTTAATGTTAAATGACCACAATCAACTTATACGTATATAAGTTACAATTGTTTGTGAAAACAATGTATAATTTTGTAGAAAACCTTTTGAGATCATGAGGCTGCTGGCCTCTTAAACCAGTGTTTCCCAACCCAGTCCTCAAGGCACACCTACCAGTCCAGGATTTAGGGATTACCCAGTTGTGTCTAAGGTGTTTTTTTTTCTTCTTTGTAAAAACACCTTAGACACAACTGGGTAATCCCTAAATCCTGGACTGGTAGGTGTGCCTTGAGGACTGGGTTGGGAAACACTGTCTTAAGCAATCATTTTTAAACTTGCAATCACAGCATTAGAAGTGATGCTAATTAGAAATAGTAATTAATAGAAACAGAAGATGCAGAGATCATGATTCTGATGATGTTTTTTTCTGAATATGATGAACTGATAAAAGGTCACAAAATCTCTGTAGTCTTTCCCTGAACAATATGGCAAACAGATGAATCTGACATAATATTGCCCACGTTTAAAGGATTACATACGTTAAAGTTATGTAAATTAATTTGGCATGTAGTGCATACTGCAACCAAACAACTGTAAAATCTCCATTGTCAGGGATTTAAAGTGGATTCTAAGTGAATTTAACATTTTAGACCACAATATCTGAATTGGATAAATTCTCCTGATATGCAAAATCTGCTATGCTTTCAATCTAGCCATTTTTTGGCTAAAACGTTAAATTAATTTTAAACTCCCTTTAAAAATTTTCTGAAAACATTTCACCTTTAATCCCGATAATTGCAAAAAACAGGACGAATCAGAAAATGAAAGGTCTCAGAAATATCTCTCTTATTACAGACTGCAAATATTAGTTGTACAAACTACGTAGTTAAGCTCGAAGAGTGTATCTCTTTATGTGGGATATGCAGCAGAAGAAAACATAAAAATAGAATTGGAGCTTGGGCCTTTCTCTCTTTATCTTTCCTTTTGCTGCCTATCCCACGGAATACTGATTTTGGAGCAAGAGGTACAATCCATATCCACAAGCGATGGCTGTACCGCTCAAGCTCATAATAAGAAGCTTCACTGCAGCTCCACAAAGTGTAATGCATCACTTTTCCCAGTGATAATAACATGCTACACTATCAAATATTATTTGTGTTGCATTGTTTATGTTCTTTGTTAAAGAAAAACGTCAAACACCATAACCACTGCAACACATTGTAGTCGTTATTTTGACAGGAATGCCTTGGTGCCCCCAATGTAGGTAGCCAAATCATTTGCTAACAGTTTGACAACTTACCTGCATGGAGCTTTTGTTAGCATTTCCTTAGCTCAATGCAGAGAGCTTTAGGTTCTTGTGGAGGTGGTGAAAGGCGCAATTTAACCTTAGGTAAGTTGTCAACCCATGGCACCATATCAACTACAGTGATCTGTAGTGGTTATGGTGCTTGTTTTGTTCCTTTAAATGTGTAACATTATATTGCAGATGTTTCCATGGAATTACATAAAAAAGGAGAAATCTAATTGCCCTTTTCTTAAGAAAACACTTTAAAATAAATATAAACACATATAGCAGGTAGATAAGTTAAATATTTCCATTTTCTTACCAGGGAACAGAAGGGGAGCCAGGTCAGGGATTACCAGGATCAGCAGGATTCCAGGTAAGGAATGAGAATGTTCATTATCAAGGCACAAGGCCCCATTACCGTACCTCCATACATAATTCCTCACTTGCTCTCCTATCACCTCATGTTGCTCAATCCTAATCAGCCCAATGTTAAAATAAATACTGTCTGTATGCTACAGTTGTTTAAATTATTACTTTTCTCACATCAATCTACACAAAAAAATTTAAAAGATTTTTGAAAAAATGTATGAAAAAGAAAAAACTGAAATATGACATGATAAATATAGACCCTTTGTTATGGCACTTGAAATTTAGCTCAGATGTATTCCGTTTCTCTGCATCATCTTTGAGATATTTCTACCTTGTGATTGATTGGACATGATTCGGAGAGGCTTACACATTTCCCACAGCTGTAAGTGCATTATTATTGCAAAAAGCAAGTTACAATATCAAAAGAGATGCTTGCAGAGGTCAGAGACAGGATTGTGTTGAGGTACAGATTTGAGGCAGGCTACAAAAACTAAACTGCGTAGAAGATACCCAAGAGCAATGTGGCCTCCATAATTCTTAAATGGAAGATATTCGGAACAACCAGGAATATTCCTAGAGCTGGCAGCCTGTCTAAACTGAGCAATTGGGAAAACGGACCTACAGAGAGCTACAGCTACAGGAGCTACAGAGATTATATGTGGAGATGGGGAAAACTTGCATCACTACCATAACTACTACAACGATTACTGCAACATTCCACCAATCCAGCCTTTATGGCAGAATGGCCAGGCAGAAGCTTTTCTGCACATTAAAGCCCTCTTGATATTTTCGAAAAAGCACCTAAAGTACTGTTGCTGTACTGTAAGAAACAAGATGTTCTAGTCTGATGAAATGCAGATTGAACTGTTTGACCTCAGTTCAAAACTTCATGTCTGGAGAATCCAGGCCCAACCCATCACATGCACAATATCACCAGAATAGTAAAGCATGGTGGTGATAGCATCATTCTTTGGGGAAGTTTTTCATCAGCAGGGACTTGGACATTGGACTTGGTTGAGGAAAAACTAAATGTAGCAAAATAGAAATATTGTTAATGAAAACTTGGTCTATAACGCTCATACTGGGCAGAAGTTTCACCTTGCAACAATACAATGACCTTAAGCACACAACCAAGACAAAACTTTGCTTTTATATCAAATTTATGTATTAACCCCAGTAGGAATTGAGTCATGGGAGAGCACCTAGTTTGTAGTTGGCTTTTTTCAGCTATTTTATTTGTTTGACAGTGTTTAACACAGTGTGCCCTCAATGCTAATTGACTCCAGAAACTACAGCAAATTCAATGAGATTAAATTGTTATAGTACCTACAGTGATCTTTTTTATTAGCAGATCCCAGAGATAATATACCGATGAGCGATGGCTTTGTACAAACTACCATGTTTATCACTCAGTATATATGTAGACCACAGCAGTTACCATGCCCAAGACTAGTCATCACTGTACTATATTATTTGTTCCACACCTTACATTTACGATATGGGTGATAAATTTACCGTTAACGTTGTCATTCAATAGCTAATTAAATTGAGTTTTGTGTCCTTCTTACTAGCAGAAAGAAGGAAGGCAGTGAAAAAGTGAACAGTTTACTGTAAAATCTAGAACAGAGTCTATCAGGCTTAACACTGAGAATTGCCTAGAATTGACACAGGAAATGCAAATGTCAAAATAGCTAAACTAAAGAAATAGAAACTAATTTGGTTATGTTTCCAGCCTTACTGTATTAGCCTAAAATCTGCGGTTCCTTGGTCGATTCATGGCACTTTCCAGTTTAATGAATAACCCTGTTTGAGGAAATACTTACAACTAGTTTTTTTATTTTCCAGGGTTTTCCAGGTCTGCGTGGACAAGATGGACAAAAGGTAAAGACTGTACTCAATGCCTATTACCTGTGTTTGTTTTTATGTAACCTTTCTGTAAAAAGTACATTAGATTAAGAAAACAAAGACATGTAGGCAGCTGCGGTGAGTATTAAAGCTGTGGGAAAAATAATTGTTATGGCTAAATATACATATTTAAAGATCTGAAACAAAATGGTGCAGCTTTGCTCCACTCCCCTGGTCTTCTACAAGAGGACTTAGGATATCATGGCTGAAATCTGGTCAATCTGGTCAAATCCTTGTTCTAAATACTTGTGTGAAGCCTACATGCCAGTAATGATTGTTCAATACACAATCACTGTGGAATAACCACGTAAGTACATAGAAGATTATCCAATTTCAAGATGCGTCTTCTATTCAAGTTCCATCTTCTAGTTTGAATTTGAATGTCTAATTATCCTTTGTATGTAATGTTCTTTTTCCTATAGACTTAATTCTCTCATGTGACAATTATTCAACTGCATTTCCCCTTACAATGGTTACTTTTTATAGGGCTGCCGAATCAAGATGAAGTATATATGTTCTGTAAGGTGACAGGGTACAAAAAGACACATTTTACGTACTGGTTTATATTAGCACTGTTTACGTTTTTTTTTTATATGTGTTAAAACAGGATTACCTGATTGAATGCCAAACAATGTCTGTAGAAACAGCCGGCTCCAAATAGTGCTGTCTACATACAGTATCTATGACCCATGAAGGGATTGGATGCTCTATCACTTAGTATACCTGTTCATTTTAAGATGTCGTTCCTGGTAACTTCTCATTTCATGTTGTAGGGCGTTAAAGGCTACTTTGGCTTAAAAGGAGAGCACGGGGTGCATGGTGACAATGGAGATGATGTAAGTTTACAAATAAGGTCATGTTGGTCATGGTTGTGTTTTGTGAGTACTTTAAATTCTTCTTTAAATTCTACAACTTGTTACATATGAAGCATAATGAAGAATGTATAAGTCTGTATATTTTATATAGAACATACATTACAGTGAGTGAAGCACATTAAATTGGAAATGATGCCAAGGAGTTGTGGAGACATTATTAGAAACCAAGACACCAAAAGGTCAAGTGGTGCATTAATGTCTCCAGAACCCAGAGATGATATTCTCCAGAACCCAGAGAGTAGTTTGTTTAAACTAATGTATGTTTCGCCCCCCAACACTATATCCTTTTCTAAAACCTGGCTCTATATCTAACCATTCACGTGGGATGTGCCACTGTTTTCTAATACCTAGCGAGTTATCGCGTGGACATTTCTTGGGGCACTGTAGTGACCACACAGACAGTGATTTACTAACACAATAATAGGACTGGACATTTGAGTTACGTTTTTCTTTATTTAGTTTTGCACGCTGTTTTTTTAATGGGAAAAGTGAATGTTCAGTGTGCTAACGGCATTATCACTATTGTTTTTATAATTGTCTCGGTTTCTATGATTGATGCTTCCATGTCTGCCATGCATTTTGCATTCACAATAAGAAATTGTATTTGAAAAAAATTAAATAATAATTTAATGTTGAAGCGGCAGAGCTCTGGGTATGTTGAATGTTATATTGACTCTTCATGTTATAGTCTGTTTGGCCATGCACCCACTATACACTGAACATTGCCATAATTTAATTAAGGGGAAGTCCACTGAAAAAAATGGGATGCATTTTGACAACAGTATACCTTGAGTTTTTTGTGTAACAATTTTAACATGCAGAAAACCTGTTTTTATAACTACAGAATGACCAGCCTGGCAAAGAAGGAGAAAGGGGCCCCAAAGGATATGTTGGTCCTCCTGGAGAAAAAGTAGGGTTATTGATGTTGGGAACAACTTTAATCCATATTCACAAAATGTGCTTCATCCTTGATATTTTCGAGATTTAAAAAATGAAGAAGAAATATGATTACGTATTGCATCACAACATAATAAATGGAGTGATTATTATATTTCCTTGGGATTTCTTTGCAGTTGCCTACAAACACGAATGCCGCTCTTTTTTCCTCTTTTGATTACTTCTTCTCAGAAGATCTGTGAATCAAATGGCGGAAACATTTCTGCAAAATATATACATATATATATTTTACAGCTGATTGTGCCATTTTCTTAGTTCGGATGGAATTGTTGCATGGATGAAATTTGTCCAAACTGAAACACCTTTTGAACGAATTTCAGACCACCTGAACTATTTTTATTTTTTTTCGGACTAATCAATTCGGACAAACTGATTTTTTTTTCTACATGAATAAGTCTGTAAAGGTACATTGGCCTCTGGTCACCTGTGATATTGTCTCCATTCACAGAATGGAATGTGGGTTTTCTTGGATCATTAAATATTTAGCGACAAACAGTATTGGTAAAAACCTAATCATTCATATTATGATGTCATAGCAATAATAGAGAATCACATTATGTAAGAGAAACAGGGTGGATAATATTTTAAAAAGAGATATTGATACAAGGAAACTCAGATATCAACTTGCCCTAAAGATCTTGGTTTAAGTAAACACAGCCTGAAGTGGCGAATATACTTGTGAGTGGTTGCTATGTGAATTATTTTTATTTTTTATAAAGTGCGACAAATTCCACAGCGCTGTAGAATGGATTCAATTATGGGATGCATACAGCCATTTAGAATGTGTAATATGTGCAAGTATTTACAAAATAAGTTTATAAGACTGACATCTAGATTTAAAGACGAAAATAAATTTTTTATTTTTTTTTAGAGAGTATCTGTTGCCTTTTGTGTGTGGCTCTCAAACCCGCAATCAAACTGGATAGAAAATAAACCGAGGTTAAACCGAGGAACAGACAATTTAGAATGTATAAACAGCATTACTGATCTGTTTATTCCTCGGAAGTCTAAACAGAAAATATAATTTATGTGTTGGATTATTTGTTAATATAAACTCTTTTAATTACAGGGTATGCAGGGCATGCCTGGACACCCGGGACCCAATGTAGGTGTTTTTAAATCTATATATATATATATATATTTCTGCATGCAATAATAATTACTTATTCATTACAGCGATGGAAAACAGTGTTTGAATTGGAGATGAGGGTGAAATATATCAAATACTAGTCATTCAGTGAGTCAATGTACTTTAAGTCTTTAAACATAATATTTAGTAATGAGGATTATAGTCTGGATGAGTTAATTTGTCTGTGAACGTGGCTTGTCAAAAAGTCACTACAGCTTCTCCAGGGAGGTTATCCACTAACAGGAAACAGAGATGGATTTTAAAACAAAGGTGGCATGTAATAATAAATTGAATAAAACCCCCAGATGTTAAGAAATAATTACTATTTTTTTATTTTATTTTTGCATTTTCACTACTATAACTATTAGTCAGATAGCTAGTTGTTAGAAAATGTTATTTGTGTGTAAAATGTTTAACAAAATAGAACTATTTTACCAAATTGACTCACTATTTAATGAACAGTTCTAAAATTAGATGATATCACATATTCACCAAAAAATAGAAATTATTCAGTATGTTGTAAATGGTTTTGTTTTGTTTTTTAAATACACAGCATTAGTATCATCTATGGGCCATGTACATAAAAAGGGTTATTCACTAAAATTAATTTCCAATTTAAGGTCAAAATATATATGAAATATAAAAGGTTTCAGTTCAGCTACTCTGGCCTTACATTTTAAATTCACTTTGAATTCTCACTTTAGTAAATAACCATGACAGGGTTCAAAAATTATTTCAAATTTAAAGGAACACTCCAGCCACCATAACCACTATAGTTTGCTACAGTGGTTATGGTGTCAGGAGTGCCCTGCCGACCCACCATTTTAATTAGCCAAACTGGTTTAAAATGGTTTGACTTCTTACCTGGGTGCTCCTCACCTCCTCTACAAGTCCATATGCAAATCATTTATTAGAACTCAGCATATGGGTTAATTGGCTGCCAAGCCTACCAACTTGGTGCATATGCAGGCTAAATTACACACTTACTTTATGAAAGAGCATGCTCTGCATGGAGACGCTGAATTTTCCTTATAGAGATGCATTGATTCAATGCATCTCTATGAGGAGGTTCTGATTATCCAAATTTCCCTATGGGGGAGCATTGTATTGGCTAAAAATCGGCCTTTTTGGATGATGTCACAAAGGGGACGGAGTCCGTGCCAGCGGACCCGCACAGTGCTGGGAATAGAGTTTTATACTTTCATAGGGGAGCTAAGGGGGGGCAAGCCACCTAAATACATTTTTGTGTTCCTGACCCTATAGTGATCCTTTAACATATTGCCTTACAGACAGGGTCGAACTTGATGAACTTTAGTCTTTTCAACTTTAACAGCTATGTAATGCTGTAATCAATCATACCACCTGTACTGGGTAACCACTTCTCTTAAACGGTAAATTTGACCATATCCTCTTGATTTTCAGGAATGTGAAATACTTGACATCATCCACAAACTCAGCTGTAAGTAAATTATCAAAATGTTCTCCATGCCCTAACAAGTTTATATTATTGAATTGTTATAGCATATGTGTGCACTCTTAGGAAAACAGAATCAAATAATTAGATTTGAATAAAGACTGTAATACACTTTTGGAGTTAAGGTGCTGGTAATTTGTTTTGGTAATCAAATGCATTGACAATATATTAGTTATGGTTAACAGGCAGGTTGGTGATTTCTGTGCCCCCTCTCATGCCATATTACCCATGACTAATGCCAAAATACATGCACATGAACATGCTTCCTACCTTGCCACAAATAGAAAAGTCATCTATCACATACTGAGTTATTCAGTACCTGAGTCTGTTGGGTATCCGCAGTTCTTCCGGTCTGCAGAGACATGTTTCAGCAGAAGTTAACACTTTTGTATTAGCATCAAAAATGAAAACATGCATGTATTTAGTTGTGCCTTTTTTATTGTGGGTATGTCTAAAAACAGCTTGCAAATGCTGCAGTTCTCTTGTCTGCAGCCTTTGCAAGCCCTCACATTATAAACCAGCCCCAACTTTCTGTATCTGTCCAATCACGGGCTTCCCAATGTAGCTCAATGAGAAGTCGTTGCAAAGCAGGATTTATGAGCAATTGCTGTTGAGTTTACCGTACCTAAGTTGAGTTAAGCATCCAGGAAGTATCATGACCAGTTATCTTAATTAACAGCCAGCGGGTGTAACAAGGTTAATTTGTAAAAGTGTCAATTTCTATTAAAATATGCACTTTTTTCTAAAATGAAAAGAAGGGAACACACTTTTCTTACATAACGCACTTTAGTAAGCTGAAGTGCTTTATGGGTCTGGAGTGTCCTTTTTAAAGATAATTGTATGTAATTATTTTCATTATATTTTTTTTCAGCATGCTGTGGTGAGTACAAATACATGAATGACATGGCTATATTTGTATGTATTTAATATAACTTTTTTTTTTGATAAATAAGTTTGTTTTGTTTGTCATGTTCATTTGCGGCGCCTGCTCGCCAGGGTACAGAAGAGAAGGGGGGTAGTGCAGGAACATTAGATAACATTGGTGTTACACAATGACCATTTTTGTTTTCCTTTCTATTGTTAACCGGCAATACTCATCACTTTAGGGCTGACTCCCTCCGTGTTTATCCCCTGTTTTTGGTTAATGGGTGTGTGAGTCTGGCCTCTGTATCTGCTTGTGACGTTTCACGTCTGTCTCTCCTTTATAACTGCTTATTGGTTCTGAGCTCTTGTCTAGCTCTGTGATGTGTTGGCTTTAGTAGCCCTCTGTTAGACTTTTACTGGTTTTCCCCATCCTGTATTAGTCTAATATTGGTCTCCTTTGGTGTTTCTGGACTCTGGTTCCCCTCTGCCGCTTCTCTATATTCCATCCATCTTTTCCCCGCTTGTTTAATGTGTTTCTGTGGTGTTAAGTGTTTGGAAGCCATTAGTTCGTACTTCCAATTGGTATCTGCTTGGTTTAATAATGTTTCTCTGTTCAGTACCTGGGTTGATTTCCATGCTCTGGCTAAGAGTGTTACTGCAGATATTAGCATGTGGAAAAGCAGCCGTTCCTCTATTTTGTCTAGTGTTGTGGGAATCATAAAGAGCACGCATTGTTCTAGGTTGAGTGGCCACTGCTTGCCTACCAATTTCCCTGTCTCTTTTTCCAGCATTACCCAGAATGGTGTTAGTTTCTCGCATGACCACCATATGTGTCCCATCGTCCCTCCTTGAGCCCTACACCTCCAACATCTGTTGGGGGAGTTTGGATAGATTTTGGATAGCCTCTCTGGTACCATATACCACCTATATTGTAGTTTTCTTATCGTTTCTAAGTGTGTGGAGCACTGTGAGTTGCCCTTGTGGATTCTAAAATCCCTCTCCCATTTTTCGGGTGCCAGGGTGTAACCCAATTCCCTATTCCACGCCTCTTGGAATGGCATAACGGCTTCCGGTACCTCGTGTTGTAGCTCCTTGTATAGAGCAGATAGTGTGCTTTTGGCTGGTTTTGGTGAGAGGCATATTTGCTCTAACTTACACCCTTGCTGCTGTGTTATGTTTTGTACTTTCATTCCCTTGAGAAAGGATTTCAATTGTAAATATGGGAATATGGCTCTATTTGGGAGGTTGTATAGTTCTTGGAGTTCTGTAAAGGGCATTAACTGTCCTTCTTTGTAAAGGTGTGTGATTGTGGTGCACCCTCCGTCTCTCCATTGTGTGTTTTCAAATGTTGGAATTCCCACCACTATCGTGGAGATCGGGGGGTGTTCCCTGGTATACTTTTCCGATTCCCTTCCCCATCTTTTGTCTCATCCCAAATTGTCAGGGTTGTTGATGTGGTTGGTAGGGGGTCAATGTGTGTGGGGCGTATGTGTCTTGGTAGCCAGAATAGATTGTGTAGGCTGTGCCCTCCCACCCAGTGGGCTTCTATTTTTGTCCATTGTGGGGTTTTCCCTTCTACCATAGATGCTTTAATTGCTGCTATTTGTGCAGATTTATATTACGTGTGGGTGTTTGGTAGCCCCAACCCTCCCCTTTCGACCGGTCTTTGTAGAACCGAGGTTGCCACCCTTGGTTTCTTCTTTGCCCATATAAATCGTACAAGGAGACTCTGTAACTTTTTAAGGTAGGTTTTTGGTAGCTTTATGGGTAGCGTGCGTAAGAGATACTGGAATTTCGGGAGCAGCATCAACTTTATTGCTGCCAGCCTCCCTACCCATGATAAATATTTGCCCTCCCATCCTTCCAGAGTTGCCACTAGTTCCTTGTAAAGTTTGGTGTAGTTTTTTTCCATAAGCCTATTTAGCTGGGTCGGGATGTTAATGCCTAGGAACGTGATGTGATCCATTCTCCAATCGAATGGGAAGGCAGACTTAAGTCTGTCGAGGGCTTCTGTCCCAATCCCCACCCCCATGGCTTGGGTCTTGCTAATGTTTAATTTATAGTATGAATGCCATCCATATTCTAGAATAGTCTCCACCAAGTTGGGGAGGGATATCTGGGGTTTCATCAGAGTGAGCATTATGTCATCAGTGAATAGGTTTGTTTTATGTTCCCTGTCTCCTATGGTCACCCCATGTATTGAGGCGTGTCGCCTTATGGCTGTTGCTTGCGGTTCTAGCGTATAACAATGGGGATAGCGGGCACCCTTGGCGAGATTCATTAGTTATTAGGAAGGGATTCGACACGAACCACGCGTTTAAAACTTGGGCTGTTGGCCTGTAGAGCCCTGACCGCCGAGAGGAAGCCCTCTGGCACCCCGACCTTAGTGAGCACTGCCTCCCAGCTCAGCCGGTCGAAAGTCTTTTCTGCATCTAGTGCCACCACCACGCCTACCACCTTCGTGCGCTGGGCACTGTACATTATGTCAAGCACTTTTCTAGTATTGTCTCCCCCTTGTCTGCCTTTTATGAACCCCACTTGGTCCGGGTGTATGATGTGTGGGAGCAGGCTTCCTAACCTTTGGGCATAAATTTTAGCGTATAGTTTGGCATCGGTGTTTAGGAGGGAGATAGGGCAGAAGTTTTGGGGGCATGTGGGTGGCTTTCCAGGTTTGGGTAGCGTTATGATGTGGGCTAGTAGTGTTTTACGGGGTAGGCTTTGTTGTTGGGTGGCTTCGTTATAAGCTTTCGTTAAGTATGGCACCAGGATGGGTTTGAATGCTTTGTAGTAGCAGTTAGCAAAGCCATCTGGGCCTGGGGCTTTGCCCGTTGGCAGTTGCTGGATTGCTTCGGCCACCTCCTCTTCGGTAATACAGGAGGAGAGTTTGTGTTGTTGTTGTGGTGTGAGTGAGGGCATTGATATCTCATTTAAGTATTGTTTTATAGCCTGTGGTCGTGGTTGGTGTGTTTTCGCGTCATTTGCTAGATTATAGAGGGATGCGTAGTATTTGGAAAACACATTGCTAATGTCTTTGGGGGCTGTGACCTTGTGTCCCTCCTCTGACTGGATGTGTGCTATCTTTTGTTTAATTTGGAGTGTTTTGAGGCATTGTGCCACTAGTTTGCCTGCCTTGTTTCCTTGAGTATATTGTGTTGCCTTGAGTCTCTGAAGGTACTGACCTCTTCTATCTAGTGCCTGTTTGTGCATGTCCTGTGTAAGCTGCATGATGCGTTCCTTTGGTTTAGGATCGTATGGTCTAACAGTGCCATCTGCCTTTCCCGCTGTTGTGTTTCTAACTGTCATTTGAGGGTTGCGGCTCTTTGAATCAAGAGTCCTCGTGCTACAGATTTGTGTGCTTGCCAAATCGTGTTGTGGGATGTGTGATCTATCATATTTTCCGCAAAGTAGTGCTGCAGTGCTTGTTCTAATTTTTTACGGAATTTGGGGTCCGTAAGAAGAGAGGCATTAAGTCTCCAGGGGCTTCTGTGTGTGGAGTCGTAAAGGTCAGTTAAAGTCACTACTACTGGTGCGTGGTCTGACCACGTGATCTGTTTGATGTCGCATCCCTTAATTTGGCCTAAGTGTTGTCCCGTTGCTAGTATGTATTTAGTAGTTTCTGTAGTGCTTTGCTTTGTTGTTTGAGCGGTCGCATTCTGGGTGCTGATGGCGATACAGTGGAGTCCACCGTGGGATCCATTACATGGTTGAAATCCCCACATATTATACTAATCCCCTTTTGTTTTGTTTCCAGTTTCTTGATTATTTTATGGAGGAAATTCCTTTGTCCTGTGTTTGGGGCATAGATGTTTGTGATCATGTATGTGATGTCATTGAAGTTGCCCACCACCATGACATATCTCCCTCCCTCATCCACTTCCAGGTGCAAAAGGGTAAATACTACATCTTTACTAATAAGGATGGAAGCTCCCATAGACTTGTTTGAATATGTTGCATGAAACTGGTGTGGGAAGTCTTGCTCGAACAAAGGGGAATGTGAATTTGTTTTAAAATGAGTTTCTTGTAGGCATACTACTTCCACATTGTTTTGTTTCAAATCTCAGCGTAGTAAGCTGCGTTTAGCGGGGCTGTTTAGGCCTTTGGTGTTGTGGGTGTATATTTTCATGGGGGT